TATATATATATATATATATATATATATATATATATATATATATAATTTCTCAACAATAGTATAATGTAAGCACACATGCTGTACAACATTCACTTTTGTTGCCTCGGCTCAGCGCGAAAGCAAGCCGCGTTAAAATTACTTTAGAGTTACCTTCGATCGAATGTCAAGTGTGGAATGCGTGAAGTTTCGCGGGAGAATTTCACGACGCTGCGCGCAACATTCGATTAATTTGGAGCATAATATTTTGATCGACGATTCGTGTGTTTTGGATAATAGTACATACATAGCAAGAACACCATTTACATAAAATATAATAAGTATATAGTAGTGTAAACACACATTAGCAAATCAGCCTTTACAGCTTATTAGGAGTGAAAGGCATGATAAATTAGTCTGAATGATTGCTTTTATGGCGCTACTTCCATGAATTTATAACTAAATAATGCGCAAGATTAAGGATAAGCCATGATATCAGGATTGCATCTTTATTAGGAAATTTATACATTCAGTCGGTTGATAATCGAGTTTTATTTTCAATCATAAAAACTATATTGTGTTGGAAGTTCATTGAAAAGAAGCCAACTCTCGATATCAAATTCTTTTGTTTGTTCATTTTTGTTTCTTTTCACAGATATTGCAGTATGCATTAATATTTTAGATACTTTATATAAATATATTTACATATATATATTCACACAGAGTTATGTTGAATATAATTGCTCGCTACTCTTTCGTAACAAGAATCAAAATATAATCGTATTCACACATGGCCGTAACATTGCTGCAGGAAAGTCTAAATTTAAATGCTTTATATACGCGCGTGAATTGTTTATAAACGTGAATATTTAATATTTAATTTAATAGAGTCTCTTACAACTACGTGATCGAGACATTTGTTCCATAAGCCGCATAATTGAATCTTCCAAAGAGATCATCGACAAATTCGCTCATTAAAGAATGAAAAAAAAAAGAAGATACTTAGAGGTTGTATCATACTCACACTTTTACACGTATGACCAAGGTCAAATTAATACCATTAATGTACTATTAATCGTGTATCATACGCCACTAACTGACTTGTGTATGATAATTTCATATTTTGTACCTACCAGTTTAGAAGTTTATAAATATAAGATAGTCTTTATCTCGCGTACGACTGGTTATATATATAAAAAAAATATATATATATATCCGTTAAGGATTAAAGCATAATACGAAATTCCGTTGAATTCTCTCGGAATAGCCGTTACGAAGCGATTTACGATTCATTATTATTTTTATATTTTATTACACACGAGAGTCGAAGTATTGTTGAACTGGAGAAACTTACAATACAGCGACTGTCGAGTCCAATGTATGCGACGAGAGAGGGAGAGAAAGAAAGAAGGAGAGGATACAAACGACGTACGTTCACGATTTTCGATGCGATCTATAGTATACCGGATGGTATGTGTAAGCGTAGTGTAACATATCTGCAATTTCTGTCCAGATTACGAAGTTTCGTTCAGCCGACCGATTTGTAAAAATATATTTTTACGCGTCTCACGAAGACTAAGTAGCCACATGCGTGACGCGCCGTTACCCGCGGAAGAGTTCGCATGGCTCGATCGAGAGCGAGCGAGCATACATTGTACGATGCCAAAATGTTGTTAAAGCGAAGGGAAACGAAAAGAATGAGCAATTACACTGTATAAACTGCAACTGCAAAAATATGCGTGTACTCCGCACGATCCCTCCGTTCGTTTCGCGTTCTGATTTCCCGACGAGACACCTAGATCTTACAAATTCTCTCGCGCATGACTATTTTTATAAAATAGAGATTCATTATGAAGACAATCTTCGAGTCTTATTGCGTCCTGTAAATAAATTGCCGAGCTCGCGTGTAAGATTCGTAAACGTGTATCGTAAACCGTACCGCTCTGTTATAGTAAATGTGCTCGAGCACAGCAGAACATTTTGCGCTTGAAGGCGATGCGTCTCGACACGGCGTCGTCTTTGAGTCTTCCATCCTTGTGTCTGTATAGGATCCTGCGATTCTTTTTACCCCGTGTAATAAGCACTATGTTAATGCATATTGTGACCGATGCTTTTGTAATATGAATTTGTGATAAATAACTGTACCGATACATCTTAATAATCGTTTTGCATACGACCTGCGGAAAAAAACGCACCCGTCTGGTTTCGCTACGAGCTATTTCGCCGTCTGGTTGTTGTCGCGAGTATATTGCAAAGCCGTGAGAAGAATTTGTATTCGGCCACGTTCTCCCTGTTTAACAAAAACAAAACAAAAAAAGAGTAAAAAGGTAAAAAAAGACAAGCGAAAGAAACTTTTATTGTAGTGATCTCTATTTTGCGTTCGAAATTGACTAAGCTGCCGCTTAATTAAACACATAGCGCTTTCGCGTAACTGTTGCATGCAACGTGCGTCCCTCTGGGATATGTAAAATATAAATTATCGATACTTTTAATATCTCGACTTTAACGCTGTATCTTCGACTCAAACTGGTGCGCGGAGAGCGATATGTGCGCGTACGTACGACAGTGAAATTATGTGAAACGTGAGGAGCTTTTCTGCAAAAGAAATTATTATTGATAATGATTATACACAGAGAGAGAAAGAGCTACATCACGAGTACTCGACTGTATGTATACAACAGTTGTACTGAAACCCGACAATGTATACACAAGCGGAGTCACTCTTGTCTCTTTGAGCCGCCAAATTTCTAAGAAACACGCAATTTCTTATAAAAATAAAATTGTGCCTGAAATCATTTATTCAACCGATATGTATATTTGCATTTGCATCACCTATATACCACAACTTTTAATATTAACGTATGAAACGAACATACCAGCAATTTTAATAAGCATTTCATCTTTCGCAGTACAGAAGTTAAAGTGGACAAACATTACCTTTAGATATATCTTAGAGTTGCTTTACAAATATTTTATACTCTGAATGGGTAAGAACTCGATAAGGATAAAAAATCGTCCTAGAAAAGTGGTACAAAAAGCGAGATTTGTACGGCACGATAAGTTGCTTCTCCCGTTACTCCTTTTAATGATTGAGATAATAAAAACTTTGAAATACTTCCTGAATGATTTATTTAACGACATTGTAGCATTCATCGATCGGTAAATACATATTGATAATGTATATAGCAAGTCACCCACTTCCATATTTCTATTACACAGCATATAACAGAAACTTTCTGAAAGTAGAGAGTTAGTCAGATCGTATATTTCACATTTCAGTCTAGACACACACAATGTGAAGTAGCTTTTAAAATTAAAGGAATAGAAAAATCGTATAAACTATACAGTTATATATATATAAATATATATATAATTATTACATATAAAGTACATATATATTAATAATTATATATATACACGATATATGACATATTAATTGAACGTATATTATCATACCTATACATCTTGCATTTTTACATTCATCTCGTAGAACAAAAATAGGGAATAATATTTGTGGAGAAAAAAGAAAAAAAACAGTAAAATACAAATAGCAGTCTCGTTCAAAAACTCGCACTATTTATCACCGTCACGCCAAGATCTGATATTGACTGTGATAAAAATGTCATCAACAATATGTACCACGCGCGTAGTATCTGTCCTTACGTTCTATCGAGAGTAACTCGTTTCGCAGCGAACTGCAATATTCGTATCAGTGAACTGCAATATTGCGTAAATACATTCTTATGCGTATGATACATTCAGTTATAAGCATTCGTTATAATACGAAGAAAACGTTTACTCCCCTTACTTCTTACTACGAGCATCACATCACTGCAGAATATTCAACTGTCCGGTGTTTGTGGCGTAAACCATCCCTTGACCCGGCTGCGGCACCCATCTAATGCAATTCAGACTGACATAGCCCGTAGTCTCGCGACTGCTTTGCAACAATTCCCTAATAAGCACCATACTCTCACGGTTACTCTTAATATCTAGCTCAGTTCTCATATTGCGAATTCGCCAATCTTGAATATGCGATCTGTCCGTTGCGTTAATGACGTTCTGTCTCGCTGTGTTACTCGTAGTAGTGTTGTTGGACATGTGCGCGAGCTCGTCTGCTCTGTGATGACTGTCGGCACGATCGTACACCTTGTAATTTCTCGAGTCATTCGGCTCCAACGGAACTTGCTTCTCGTCCTCAGGCTGCTTCTCGATCAGCTTATAGATCAGAGCCATTGGAAAGGGCCTGGCGGGCACGTGAATTCTACGCGCCAAACCTACCAGAAGATGCTGTTGTGTGGGCGACATCGAGACAGACACCACAGTTTGATCGATTTTCGTCGAGTAGATTCTCTCTCCGAGTGTTTCCCATTGTAAACTATAAACACCTAAAATACAAAATAATAATATTACAAAAGTATATCGATCAGGTGACTCTGTGGGTCGCGATATACGCCTCTCACTCACCTAACATAGTCGTGACATTGATACGACCGGACGGTAAAAGTGTTGCCAATAGTTTTCCATCCGAAGATATGTCAATGCTGGCATCGTTGTGAATCTTACATTCGCGTACCACCACATTCTTCTCCGCTGTGAATGAAACTGTATTAATACGACCATACAGACCAATTGCGTTAAAAAAACATTATCGCGAGAAGGAATCATATTTTAGACAATCTTCCACACTTACGGTCCGTAATATCGGGAATATCACCGTTAGTGAAGTCCCACGCCTGAACGCGATAGCTCTGCATCTCTAGTGTATTGAACATGCTTACTGGTATATGATCTGAAAAATGATGAAATTTGTAAAACTTTTTTCCACATATATGAAGACTATTTATTTATAACGATTTAGAAACTATGGTATGTATTTCGGGATTTAAAAGAGAAAGGAACATATTTACCGAAATCGATATCGTCGCTATCATCGTTTCCTGGATCTTGTCCTCCTCCACCGCCATTGCCATTACCTCCGCCTCCGCCTCCACCTCCACCTCCGCCTCCGCTTCCGCCTCTGCCTCCGCTACCGCCGCCACCACCACCGCCACCACCACCGCCACCGCCACCGCCACCGCCACCGCCACCGCCACCATCGCCACTGCCGCTGCCGCCACCGCCACCGTTCCCATCGTCGCCACCGCCACCAGGACCGGCACCAACTCGTACTCCGCTCGATCGCCAAACCGCCAAGAATGCCGGACTGTACAACTGATATGATAACAATTGATATTGCTCATGGTCTCATACTCAATTATGAACATTTAGGCTCATATTAATAGTTGTCATTTGAAACTTATCTTATGTGAGATACTCAGATTTTTATTTAAAGTTAGATCCAACCTAGGTAGACTATATATATATATACAAGGTGTCTGACTCATACTGTACCAGAGTTAATACATAGCTAGAATAGGTTGGGGTGAGTAATGGAATGGATGTCTTTTTTTAAACAACCACTTGAAATTTTGAGATATTAACAACGAAAAATTTCTACCGAGCGGCAGCCCACTGGCCAATCAGCACACGCGCTGCGGTGAGACGAACGCTGTACACGCTGTAGCATCGGCATGACAAACTAGCCGGCCCAGGCTCTTAGCAATGCGTTTTCCTCATTGCTAGGAGCCTGGCAATTAACATGGCCTTTAGAGACGTATATTATACCCGATTCCTATTGTTGTTCACCATCGCAGAGCTAGGTCCGGGTTGATTCGCCAGATCATTCGTTCGATCGTTGTTTCTGTTGTCGACGCCAAAACTGAGTAATCTCTGCACCATATTCGACGAAAGCGATTGAGCCTCACGAGCCGGTGGCGAGATTCGTCTTCTACGAGCATTGTGGGGAATATTGTTCAAGTCTCTCAAAGGTATGCTGTTCACTTGCAGCTCGGGCACATTGAATTCCTGTCGGACAGACGGCGTGCCCTCCCTGTGAAGGAATCTGCGCCACGAGCAGACGTTGTCCGTGCCAGGAACGAAGTCGATATTGCCGTCTCTCTGAAGCGAGGGATATCTGTACAAGGAGTCGCGAAACGGCAGTGCAGTACGCGCCAACGGAACACCCTGATAAGACGCTCTCAGAGATCTATACAATTGGTGCCACGGTATGTTATTTTGTTCCATAGCTCTACGGAAGGTTGTCCAAGACGGGCTAGGAATTTGCGCTGTCTCGTTATCCTGCAAGTTACTCGGTTCATTGATACGTATCGGCGAATCAAACGCCACAGCGTTTCTGCGACTTCGCCGGTAATCTCTCGTTCGCGCCACCGAATCGCTCTCGTTACGTGGTTGCGATTCGCGTGGACTATCTCTAGGAACGTCGGTCGTCCCTCGATTTTCAGCGATCGTTCGGATCTCACCGCGATCATCGTTATTGATCGAGCTGCTACTTTGAATCCTTTCCACGATACTCTGCACCTCAGCGGACAGCGCATTCTCGGACAGTATAAGGCCGCTACTCGAAGCCGACTGTCGATTATCTTCAGCGCGAGTATTGCCAGTAGAATTGTTATCGTCGCTGCTGCCATTGTTGCTGGATCTAGCCGTGTTAGAACCTTGATTTTCGATCGACGATGTGTTTTCCGAGTGCGTGCCGGCTCGTGTGTGTCGTGAAGTGTAAAATAGTCTCTTCAATTGTTCCGCCATACGATAAGGTCTGTTTATTCCCGGTGCCGAGAGAAGATCCTCCGCGTTTTCCCGGTAGATACCCGCAGATGTGCTTGGTATATCGCTGCGATTGTTTCTCGACAACCTTTCGCGTTCTGTATTGCGTCTATTTTGTGGGTTATCGTTCGCACGATTACTTTCAGTCTGCAAACTATTATCGATACTATTGTTGGAACATGAGTTTTCACCCCTATTCTGATTATCGACCGACAGATCAGAAGTAAAAGGTCCGTACTGACTAGATTCCAATTCTCGTCTCGTTATTACCAATTGTGCTAATAGTAAATCCGTTAATTCCAACGCCAAGTGCAGTAACACATACATTTCTGAGAGAAAAAAAAAGTAGAAAAACATAGATTGATAATAAATTCAATAATAGATATACTGCGTATGTAATAAACATTTTGCTTGATTTAGCCTGATAAACTTACTGTACATCTGTTCGTATAGAACATTGCTTTGAGAACCATTTCCCGACCTCGTCACTTCGAAGAACTGGATCAGAGATCTCACCATCAGACCAAGAACTTGTCTGAAGCAATGTTAATCGATATTAACACACATTATCGAGCAATTTCTCTTTACGTAACATGTATCAGATTCGCGCGTCAGTTAATTAATTTATATAATTCTTTTTTTCCTCACCTAGCTCTTAATCTTGTAGTTTCCCGTATCTGTTCCATCTCCTGATTCTCGTGATCTCTATTTTCCGATTGACTGTCGCTGTCTGATCCTCTATTGACATTGCCACTTCGAGTTAAGGCTCTTTGTTGTCGGACTAGGGATTGCAGTCGCAGAAGATCTTCCGCAATTTTCTGCAGGGACTCAGACGTGGTCTGTCTTCTGTCTCGGTCGTTGTTACTGTTGCTGCTGCTGCTACAGGGTACATTTCTGCGCAAGTGCCACGGTCTCCTAACGTTCTCGCAATGACGAAGTGGATTATTGGAAGACTGAGGCCCATTACGACTTTGCTTCATATTACGCGATCTCAACAACCACGATCTCAGAAGTCTGTGAAACATAACAACACGATTAATTTAAAATAACAATATGTTCTTGGAAAAAAAACCGATGAACGAAATTTATGTCGTTTTCTAAAGAACATAGTTTTGTGCCAAAAACATTTTTGTTAGTAGTTTTTTGCTATTAACAATGTTGCTGTTATTTTTTTTTTACTAAATCGGTCTTAAGAAAAATACGAATACCGGAATTTCATTCTGTGCCGCCAGTTCTGGTTTCGCCTGCTTCGCCACCTACTGCTACTGGAAGATGATCCGGGTGATGATATGCAGGTTGAGCTTCCGCTCTGATTCGCTGGATATTGCGTAACGAGATCAGAGTTGACATTGGCATCGACGTTGCCGCTGTTGCTAGCGTTGTTGCTCGTATCACTTGCCGGGTGATCGGTATTTGTGTGCGACATCTGCGTGGATCTGTCAGAGCTGGCATTACGATCGATACTGTTGACGAAGTTCGAAATACTAGGCAACGGTGTCAGTTGCGACGTTAACGCAGTCACTGTAGGCAAGCTCGAATTTGCACCGATATTCGACACGATACTAGACATACTGGGTAATTGCGCGTCTGCACTGGTCGTCGCTGCTGGTGCTCCTCTGCTGTTCATAGCTACATTTGAGGAATACGTGTGATCGTTCGTTGTATATTGCTGCGTGCTATTGGCATCGGGCGAGGAAGTGCAGTTCTGACAGCGTGACGTCAAGCGCGAATACCAGCCGTCCAACATTTCCTTCAAATTGTGAGATAACATTTGTCGTAGCTCCGAATCGCTCGGCAACAAGTTCGACAGACTGATGTTGGTTGAGGTCTCCTCGACATTGGAGCCGCTAGATGACGGCGTTGGTTCGTCTTCGCGATTTCTCTCTGTGATTCCTCGCGACGTCGACGGCTGGCTGTGATCATACGTTCTGGCGTGATCGTTCTCGCTGTTCTGCCTCTGATAATTCTCCAGCAGAGCCTTTTTGAAGTTCTTCGCCGATTCGTTCTGCGGATTCGCGGTCGTGGACGAGTTTGTCGACGAGGCTGCCGTTGATGACGCAGCGGGATTGCCGGTTGTGTTACCGACATCCCTCTGCGCCTCCGTTTGATCGTTGTTGCTCAGTCTTTCCACACGAACTGTCACGTGTAACGAACGTATCTGTCGCTGCAGATCCTCCCACATTTTACGCACTTGGCACAACTGAACTATCTCCAATCGCGCCCTGTTTACGAATCAAAAACACATTACTCTCAAGTGAGGTAAAGGCACGACACGATCGCGCGTAGTGTATCGTCAACTTACCGGCATAAGCGTTGCATATTGTCAATGTGACGATTAAGTAACTGGATTCCTTGTCGAACTCCCAATGAACCTTCTCTCGAATCCACATTGCCAATACCGAGCATTCTGAGATCGAGGTCCGCGTCGTCTGCATTTCTTTGGCTCTGACTTTGATTCCTCTGTTGTTGCTGCTGCTGCTGCTGCTGCTGTTGCCTGCTGCCGCTCGCGAAGCTGCTCTCGCGATTAACTCTGTCAGCAACGATTCTCACCACAGGATCGTTAACACGTTCCGTTAAATTTGGGAACAGATACGTCGCACTCGAATCGGTCATTTGCAACTGAAACGGAGTACTATGAGTGGAGTCGCTAGCGAGTGTCTGATTCTGATCTACTCTTCGAGACTGATTTTCTCGTAAGCTTCTAAAAGGAAACAACGGTGGTTCTTCGTAACGAGAAGGGTTTAGAGATACGGGCGACAATCGGTGCCCCCCATCACGGAAAGTAATTTGTTCTCTATTTCTATCATTAGAATTCTGATCTGCCGCGTCTTCTGAGAGAGATCTCGCTTGAGCTTGCTCGTTTGACAAGTCATTAGTGTACTCCGTATTTCTACTCGAAGTGTCCAGCTGTATCCATCGACTGGTCCATCGACGAGGGTTCGAATTGCTGTTGGAGTTTGAGTCATCCAGATTGGAATCCGAATTACTGTTTTCTTCGAGAAGCCAATATCCATTCTCCGAATCATCTAACGAAACTTGCTGGACAGTGTTATTGTTATCCATCCGATCTGCATTCAAATGCCGCTGAAGGACGTCTAGCACTCTCCTGAGTAGAGGTAAATTTCTAAATGTTAAAAATTTAGTACACATATTATGAATTGATATTGAGATTCTCCTCAAAAACGATTTGAAGTCTTACCGAATGTATCGAGAACTCGAAGAGTGCTTCAATCGCTGGTGAAGCGATACTCACCTTTGTGTACGATTGCATTGTTGTATGATTCTCAATGTTCTATTAGTTTCGGCATTATTTTCATTCAATTCGTTATTCCCGTTATCGGACAAATCGTTTCTGTCCATCTCCTCGTCATTTAACCTGGAAGAACTAGTCGGCGCCTCCTGATTTTGCGGCCTCACTACTTGTGGGACGAGTTTGGGTACATTTGGTTGAAACGCCGAATGAGTGGAAACCGTGAAGTTAGATGGACCGTTACGCGACGTGGACGCCAAGTACCCTTCGTCGCTCGATGATGAACTATCTCCTGGAATAATAAAAAACTCTAATCAGCATAATGAGAAATAAACTAGTCACGCAATATCTACTATGACCATGTAATATTGATTTCATGTAATATTAAGTTGCTGTAAAAGATTAGTCATTTCTCTGCCAAATTTTCGTAGAAAGTTTTGGTATTAAAAGAAGAATAGAAACTTTCTCGTTAGATCTCTAAAAACTACAGAGTCGATACTGTTCATTTTACTCGTAAAAATCATTAATCCTTTGAAACTGAACAATTTTTGTTCTCTATTTTATTTGATTCAACAAACTTTTTGCATCAATTTAATATTTATTCATTATCACACATTTCCATTAGAAATATTACCGATGTAAGGTAGCGATATCGGCGGCCCCAATTTACGCTTTCGTCTCCTGGGAGGTTCATCCTCCGTATCTGTAGCTTCGAAACGTCTTCTCGTAGCCCTTCCAGCATTTTGATTCCTGTTTCCCGACGAAGTGCTCGCATGCTCGTTACCGTCTGCATGTGCGCCGCGTTCTTCATTCCTTCTGGCTTCGTTGCCGTCTGAGCTCGAGCTAGGAAATACATCGGATTCCAGATGTAAATCACCGGACGTTCCTGAGGGCAGCGTTGAGTGCAACGTGTTTCCCGTCAGTCCGGAACTGGTGCTAGGTAATGGCTCGTCGTTCGCGACGAGCGCTCGCCACTCGGCCTCACTCAGATTCAGTTGCGAAGGATCACTCGCGATATGACGATTTCGCGGCAAAATACCGTACATCGTAAACTCGTCACGCAATCGCTCGATCCTGGAGCTTGTGTTAGTGAACTGTACCTCCATATTGTTGAGCGCTTCGATCTCGTCGGTCAAAGCATTGCGAAGCAGGTGTAGACGAGAGTTGCAGTTGTATGAATGATCAAACAAGGTAGTGGTCTGCCTCTGTAGTCTCTCTCGCAGTTTCTGCAATCGTACTAAGCAAGAGCTATTATTTTCGGCGGCGGCGTTTAGAGCCTCTCTCAAATTTTGAAGAGTAGTTCCGATCTCCTCTTGCTCGGAGCGCTCCATTAGCAATCGCCGACACCGTTGCAGCCTCTCTAGATTCGTATTGTTCACTTGAGCGCTGGAATTCAGCTCGTTCCTCAGTCTTCGTATGGACGACTCGGTTGCAGTTTCATTTCTGCTGTTGGATTCCTCAGGATTGGCGGACGACGTCTCTCGTATATCCATCGGATCTGTGCCGCGATCGATCTTGAAACAAAATTAGTAGAAAACGTTTTTACATGCCTAAGAGAAGGAATCCAGCGTGCGAGTTGCGAGAATAACTCTATAATAGCTTACCGTATCTCTGTTTCTGTTGGATACATCAAAGTAACGTCTCACAAGCGTCACGTATTGATCGACAAGATTCCTATAACATAAATTTATTCTCCTCTCTGGATCCTGCGAGTTGTTCCCCTGCAATCTTTCGTCCACTCCGGCCCATGCATTGTTCAAACGATCGTACAAATCGTTTCTGGGATGAGGGTGACCAGACTGCAACTCGTCGTTGATCGTATTCGCTTCTTGTTCGTGCCTCGTCGCCAAGTCGACCGGTGCCTCGTCGTCGTTACTATCATCCGCTGACCTGTTCTCTGCACTGTCCATATTTTCTAGACTGACGCTGGGTGGATGAAGAATTCTTGTGATATTTGGACGAGATGCAGCTTCCCTAGTTTGATTCAGTTCTACATCGTAAGGCATAAAACTATTACGACAAATCTCGACTGTTACAGTACCGAATGGTGTATTTGTAGATTGAGTATTGTTACGTGACGACACGACGGCATCGTCTCTGAACCGCTGTGCTAGTTCATGCCCGAAATACGTAATAGCATAGGTATTATATCTTCGTAGTATAGATATTGTACCTTCCGATAGATTTCGTCGTCGTGGAAACCGTGTCTCTTCTTGCCTTAGAGTACTCCTCAACTCTTGATTATTGCTGTATCGCATTCGAGACATTTCGAGGCCTCTACGCATGAACAAGTATGCACTGAAAATTCAAATTTCACTAACTCTTTCTCCAACTGGGTATATTGTGAATTTTGTGTATCACATAGCTTGAACAAGTTACTAAAATGATCTAATAACATTAATAACTCAAATACCGGGAGGTTCTTTCCGCATAATTGTCCGCTGGTCCTCTTCCGTACGCGGAGCCATGGTTCCACAAGTGCCAAGGCGAAAGTTCAATATCCGAGAGCCCTACTCGCGGATATCTCAAGTTCCTAATTTTTCAGCAATTAGTGTGTTACAATGTGAATATATATTTTACGTTATAGTATATAATAACATATATATCAGATAAAAATAATATAAAATTCATTTCTACAGCTTTACATACATATGTTATATAACGTTCTTACATTAAACTAGTTCTGAGTAATTGACCCATAGGAGCACGGTCCCATTGTGACTGAACTTGCGGCGTATTTGCAATTCCTGTGATCAATTTTCTCCCTAAACTATCAAAAGCCACGTATCTGCAATTTTTACAAAATGCTGTGGAGTCAAGACATGAGTATACTTCCAATACTTATTCATATATAACATAAAAAGTCACTTCCTTGTACTTTTTTCACAATATTTTCTGTCGTATCATCTATCTCAACCTTTTGTAGAGCACTCCAAAACTAAATGATCGTTTATGTAGTACTATGGACTAATATGCTATTTAATAAAACAATTTCTTAAAAAATCATGCACCAAAACAAATGAAATCTTATTTAGTGCCATCACTAAAATACATAAAATAAAAATGCTCATTGCAACAGTTAGTAACTATTGCTCACATTGAGAGTATAAACCAAAGAAATTTGTTAGATGTATTTATGTATTCATAGTCCATACCAATAATATAATATAATATTTGCCAAAAACATATATGTACTCATAGCAAAAAAGTTAAAGCTTATTTAGGACAAATATATCATATATATACCTCACATACCTCACTTTTTCCTTTTCAGTCTTTGTACTAGCCACAGCAAAAGGTTGAGATTTACTCCAGTCCCAGAAGTGTATCTCATTATATGTTGCTATGACCAATAACCTCTCGGATGGATGAAATGCTAATGAAGCTATGACAGTTTGGCTGTCAGCATTCCATATCTCACTACCACCCTGTATGAACAGAATCACCATTAGAAATTGTGAACATTTAATGTTGAGATGTATTACAAAATTGTAAGGATCATAATACTTACACTTAGATCCCATACACGAACTTGGCCTCCTAAGCAACCAGATGCTAAGATCTGGCTGGAAGATGGATGAAAAGCTATGCACCATGGAGTACGTGGATGACCAGACAGAGTTCTAATATTCTTCCCTGTTGTAATTTCCGTAATGTAAACATTATGATTCCCATGAGTAGATGCTACCTTGGTCCTAAAATTATTTTAAATTTGAAAATGATTTTCTGCAATATTAATTTACAGTCCCATATGCCATAATATTGCATTATTGTCTAGAAAAAGACCTACTATATATATTATATTTTGTATATGTATCTTACCCATCAGGACTAAAAACCATCAAGAATGTAGCTCTAGGAACACCAGGTAACTCGCATTTCTACAAATAATGTTACAAATAATGTTACGAAAAGTAACATTATTCACTTTAACATATTATAAAAAAAAACAAAGAATTAGATTTTTTGTTCTATCATTATATTAACATAATTGTACATATTACTTATATGTTATAATATATATACATATTTATGTATTAATAAAACTAGAGAACAAATTAAAGTTATATACACAAATCATATTATATATAAGTACATACCAATTCCTTATGGTCCTTTAAAACCAAGTTTGTTTCAGCTATTGGTTCTAATTCACGTGTGCTAGTTTTATGCGTTGTGCGTAATCCAAAATCTCTTAGCAATAAGTTACGTAATACATTGCGCGATTTGCTGCAGTGGAGCAATTCCGGTTTCTTCTTAACTTTCCCCATTTAGTGAGCCGTTTTTACAACTACTAAAAAAAATTACAAATATTATAGTAGTATAAAGTTATAATAGTACTTTACAATTATATTCTCTCTTGTAATCTATAGAACAATCAATTACACAAGCATGTTACTTGAAAAACTAACTACTCCACCTCCAAATGCTAAATTAAATTTGTATATTGCATTATCATAATTTATACCAACGCGATCATTAAGTAGGAACTTGAGCAAAAATTACAAAAAAAGATACAGACGCCAAAAAAGGGTGCACTAATTGCAAGCAAGTCTCGAAGTAAGGCGGCGCAATTACACAAAAGATCAGTGGCATAAAGTTCATCTTCGATATCGGAATGACATTGAGCTTTGCACGTGCACTTCAGCGACGTGCACATCCGCGGACGAAATCGGTCGCACTAATGAATCGCTGAGAGTCACACGTTTGTTAAACGTGTCTGCAACGGCAAACGGAAAACTAGTCGAATTCGCGGTTACGCGCTCCAGTCCGAGACGCTCGCACCATTCCTTCTCTCTCGCTCGCTTGTTCGCTCGCCGAAGTTTTCGGCCCGGGCAAATTTTGATTTACCTGCGAATTATCGTTCGAAACCACATACATAGGAAAAAGTCACTTCGCGTACGCGCCGAGTGAATTTTCGGTCACATACTTGATCGAAACATCCTCCTCTTCCACTAATTCGTCCGTAGTTCTCCCGTGAAGCACTGCTGACGAGCCAACCGAAGTCATGAGCCGTCGGTCACGTTTGCGACCATGATAAAGTTCGTCATGTGTCATTAGATGACGTTTTGTGCTAGACTACTAACGAATTATCGAATAACCATTGGGTAACAGTCGGTAATGTTGTCGCTCTCGTCGTGTGTCGATTAGCTCGGTCGCATAGGGAATTTCTGAAGATTTGGGAACTCTTTCGGAGTCTCACGGAACCCTCTATTCGATACTCAATCGGTACATTCGCCTTAGCTAGATATTAATAGAATATCTGATGATCATATACAAAACTCTTGGGTAGATTAGGACAAACCATTGATCTCTAACTATACTGGATAGTGCATGCCTTTGTTCTCGAGCGGTCAAAAAGAAATGGTTGAGTGGGGACGGTGTACCTTTGTCTAACCAACTCGAGGTACCACGTGACTCAATGTACAACCTACTCTGAAAACATTAACCTCCAGACACATTTCCCAAACATCGAAACAGTATATTTTATATATATATATATATATATATATATATATATATATATATATATATATATATATATATATTCGTCGCTCATATTTCAGAATTAATGTTTTTAGTCACGATGGTTTACGCTTGAAAGAGGCAACCACGTCTCAATTCGACTAACTTTCTCTGACTGTTTGGTACCGTGGAGGGGGTAGGCAGTGAGCCTTCCAGTATGGTTATAGTTCAATGGAACAAACTAAAAACTCATCCACTATTTGACGAACTATGTTTAATTTTTAGTTATTAACTAAAGAAGATTGATGAATAATCACGCACAATCATCCGCAAATCGTCTCTAATTAATAACTTAAAAATCTACATAAATATCTGCAAATTATTAAGTTTCATCTACAAGAATCTTATATTAAATATTCTGTACACACACAATGGTGAAGTCGCGATTACATTCCCTCCGACTATTTACCACTGCACATTTTTTCAAAATTCGTGAGTACTTTTATTTATTATAATAATATAATAATACAATATACTCCATTACCTTCAATCACCATAAGATATAACATGTATATATTCTCCGTATAACAAATTTCTCTTTATGTACTTTGATAGTTCATAGACACACATTGATCAAAATTTTATACAATTTTCAATAAAATAATTTTTATAGAAATATAAAACCGGAACTCCCACTAAAATATACTATTCATATGTACAATTATTGAATTTGACTAGTTAAGTTAAAGTCATAATCACTGAGACTATTACTCTCTCTCTCTTTCTCTTTCATTTAGGCGAAATCTGTAGGACAAGTATTAAGACACTATGCCGTTGCTGCCTCTTATTCTTTTTCTTCATTTTCTATGACTTAATGATCTAATATACGTAGATTGCCGGATACAATCTTATTTTCCAAGACGGTTCCGGAGGGCAGGTCTATACGTTCCCCGTGATTGGCAATTATGATGACTGTACCTTTCAATGTCACCCCTTTTCCAAAAGTAACATCGCCCGACACTGTCAAGTGATCCAATTCAAGAAGGTCTGGTATTGTCGGGAATCTAGTTAAAAATTCTTTAACCTGTAAAAGAGAAAGTTGATTTAATAAGGCCTATCAGCCTGTGTAAAGTTTCACATAATTCAAGTATTCAAACAAATATCAGCAATGATTAAAATAGAAAGTGGGTTTCTACTTACTTTAGAAAAATGATTGTCCCCTAATTTAATAAGAGGTGTTGTGGGGAACATTCTTTGAGGACTCATAATGAGTGATCCGTTACGCAGAGTATACAGATTACTCATCACAAGCATCAAATCAGAAGTCTTTTTCACTGGCAGAAATCTACTACGTGGCACATTAATACCTACAATATCAAACATTCGAATAAAACAATATGAATAAATAAAAAAAACTTATATAAGAATAACTTTATTGTGGAACTTACCGATACTTCCTTCGAATGATTTCATAGCGGCCCCTACAGCTGTTTCAAGTTGTATTATATTCAGACCGTTCGAGAAAGTCTTGTTGTTTACAATTATTTCCATATTCAACGCGTTCTTGTCAAGTACTCTCTCAATGGCTATTTAGAAAAAAGTAACTCATTAAATGCAACTTCAGCGCTTATTTAATAAAATTCCAGTCTTGAAATACTTACCACCGAGTTTGACCCACAAGTTGTTAGTGTTGAAAAATTTAAAAGTTTTAACGGACTTGAAGTCGTCGACGTGATCCTTAGGAACTTGAGCAATTTCAAGGAGACGAAGTTTATCCTCGTATTTTATAAGCGTACCACCCTGTATGTAATCGTGAAGTATAAAACGTATAATAATTATATAATCAACGCTGTTCTCCGCGAGAAAATCTCAGATTTCTAATAAAACGCACCTTGACATCCGCGCGCGTCTTGTCGGTTACTTCCATAACAAATTCCATGGGTGGCTCTGATCCTTTACTCAACAATAGTTTCAAAATTTTAATATCTACTGTGGCACCAAGATTGTCAATATTCGAAATGAAACAATATTCACGACCCTGAGAAAACATATTCAAGTGTTTCATAAGTAGACTCTTATTGCTTCAGAGCTAAGCTAAGAGTTTAGAAGGAAGATCTTATACCTCTCGAATGAATTTCTTCAATAAGCCAGAATTTTGGAAACTTTCATAGAAATCTCCGTGACCGGGTGGGTACCAGCTGTTGACAAGTTATATGAAATTTTTTAACAACCTTTCTTAATACACCTGTCAAGAAATATCAATCGTAATAATTTCGCAAAAATCATCTTACGCTTCTATATCTTCGTCGATTTGAAAGTGCTTGGCAATCGGGAGCAAAGAATCCCTATTTATGCGCGGATAGCAGCTTTGATTAAAAGTATGAATGTCTATATCGATTCCTTTGTACTTCCTGATTATGCGTTGGGTATCGTCGTCCGTGTTGAATGAATCCATCAATATGAGTGGCACATTGGCATTGTAGGTTTTATTCAAATGCTGTCACCCCAAAAAAAGAGAAAATACAGTATATTAATTATTATATAACCTTATAATGTCGTTATATGAAACCAATGTGAGACAATATTTGAACGTAATAGATATCTAAATTATAATTAAATATTAAGATACCTCGATTTGTTGAACTGTGAGATCCAAAAAGGTAAGCCCATTTCGTACCGCGATAACTGATTTTGGTCCATGACATCCCATACTTGTTCCGAGGCCGCCATTTAATTTAACCACAACTAATTTATCCAAAAGAGCTTTAACTTCTTGTGTCTCTGGTGATGGCAAGGAATTGTAATCCTTGACCTGTAAAAGAATTAAACATATCATTTCAGTTCAGAAATAAAATGAAACCAACTGGTCAATTTAGTTTATAAATTAAAATAATATTCAGATTAAAAAAAAATTGAAGTAGAATAAATAGATAAATAAACACAAATAGAGAGAATTTCTATAGAATCTCTAGAGAATCTCTCTCTTTCTCTATTAAAAACAAATAGATAAACATATGAGTCTCCTCATTATTATCTTATAGAGATATATCTCATAGAGGAAAATATAAATATCTTATTTCAAAAAATAAAGGAGCCAAGGAAAAGGAAATAACTTAGTGATTATGAAACACAATAATTCTATAAATAAACATACTGATATCACTAAAGATATTCCCAAATAGACTTTCATGATTATTACAATTTGAGGTAACTAATGGAAAGACTCTAAAATTTTTTAACATTTATAAGGCAAATATATTGCATCGAATTAATCAATAAATTTATATCACGTAATAATGCAAATTTATTTATTGTATTGATGCAGCGATAAATTCACTAAAAGTTACACTCAGATTTTCATATTATATTCTGCATATTATTTTGAACACTCTTTTAGAATATTTCTTTCGTATTTCTATTTTATCATTCCACGTGATAAATATGACTATCATATGAATGCCATTTATAAGAAACACAACCTTTACAAATCGACAAATAAAGCTGCTGTTAAATTTGCGTACACCTGTGTCTCAATATCCCCAAAAATTCTCCAACACGATTACCTCTAAATCGAATCCTTAGCAAACGTATGAAGAATTTTAATAATATAAATCACATTTATTTATTGAACGAACTTCTCGAATCACACTTGACAGAAGAAAGAGATAAAAAAGGTACTCTTTAAACTTTGGACGCATAATTATTTCGACTACTCACCGCATCCTCGGGCAGCTTCTGAATACGATCCCATTCCAAGGACGGGCCTTCCTCTTGCAAGAATCGCTCGAACAGATGCTTGAATCCATCGAACTGTCGGTCGATTATCTCCCTCTTGTCCTCGGTGGCGGTAGCTTGCAGTTTTTCGAGTTCCCGCTGCAGCTCGATCTGCGCGTCCCTCTTCGTACGTTCGCGAAACGCCTGCGTATCTGAAGAGCTGCGTTGGTGACCGCGTACCTACGGAGTGTCCTCTAAGATAACGAAAAATGTAACGGGATTTACCTATTCTCCTCATGAAATCCTTCCCCTCCGCGCCAGTCAAGTCGCCAGTAGGACGCAAAAGCGTGTACATGATTATTGCTTTAAAAATCCGCAGCCGCGTAAAAATAATTCCGTTCGAAAAAGAAAAAGGAAAAATAAATGTATACGTTCGTAAGACAATATCCCGGTGACTTATACGATTAATGTCGCTCCTTATAAAAAAATTCGTCAAAATTCCTGTGTACAAATCTCACGTTGTGCAAAATCGGCTGCGTTCACAACTATAGCGTTGTAAATAAATTTTCTATTCTCTTTTGTTCCCCCCACTCTCTCTTTCTCTTTTTCTCTCTCTCTCCCCGTTCGAAACGTAACAAATCTTCTTTTGTTGAAAAAAAAAATGCGATAGCGATTGTGTTCTTCCTCGTAAAGACGCGTCGTTCGGCGCGAAGTCTCGAAAGACGAATGAGACTTAGCGGTAGCGCGTGTCATACATACATGACAAGTATTAACGCCACCGGGTAGAGTCCGAGTCGCGTGTAGAGCAAACGATAATGCGAGTTTAAGATGAAAATTGTCATGACAATACATATCTGCTTGGCATGACTGGAGTAACGTTATCGTTCTCTTTTTCTCATCCGGTCGAGATTGGATTATTCACTTATTAATATCATTTTATAATTTAATGATATTATTAGTGCGCTTTTGGGGCCAAGAGTCCAATATTTATTTATGTGAAGGGGTTTTTATGCATGAGATAAGATAAAACGTATCGCGCAGTCCTAACATAAGTCGTTATATTTAAAAGTTAAACTTTTAAATGCACCGCGATAATACTGCATTGCTTTTTATCGCGACCACTGCGCGATTAGGAAGAAAAATAAATTATAGGTATGTTAATGAGTATAAATGACGTAAAGGACAATTTCTATGTTTGTATGTATTATGTATGCAACGCGCAACAAAAAAGAAATCGTGTAGAATTTGAAGCGGCAAGCGTGGTACACTCATAAGTAAGGATTGCGTGTTGAAACCTAAAGCATCAATGCGACATCTTATTGCGGTCTGCAGACTTCCATGTAACAATTACTGATATGTACCCAGAAAACTTTGACCTCTCTGTTAACCCTTACAACTCTGTCGATAAGATAACTTGGATGAACGTGAGTAGAGGATTATCTTTTCACTTTATATAAGTTTCGAAACGTTAATCAAATAAGCCTTGAACGAGTACATTTTATATTTAAGGAAATCTAATCTTATTCTCAGTGGATATTCCTTGAGATTAGAATTAAGAGAATCTTCTAAATTCGAAAGATAATAATTTGCTAAGAATCGAGGAAAATAATTCCAGTTGCAAGGTGCTGTTTCTTGCACTCTTTAAATTGCCTGGGGTGAAATTTCACGCGAAAAGTAGAGTGCCAAGTCACACGAATTCAAATGATTTTTCTATTTGGTGAATTCTCTATTCTGGATCGTCGAGTGAATATTTTCACTCGAAATTGAAAGGAAAATCGACGCATTCCATTTCCAGAAAATACTAGAGACAGATTTCAGAAGAATCCTCTTGAGGTCGTAGAAGGATATCGTCTGAAGATAAAATTATATTTCTTTAAGTAATAGTTATGCCTGAAAAAGCTCAGTTTCTCGATCCACGTTGATTGAACAGTTCTCTCTATATTCATGAACATCATACGTTCCCAGCGAATTTCTCGTTTTCTTCTTTTCTCGATTACACTGTAGTGAGTATGTATATGTGTGTGTGTGTGTGTGTGTGTGTGTGTGTGTGTGTGTGTGTGTGTGTGTGTGTGACTTCGGAAAAAACAGAAAGATTAAAACAATATGATCTGCTAATTAGCAATAGTCGCTCTCTCATGATCGTGTGGAGAAGAACAGACACACAATCATCATAAGCCGCTCTACGAAACTCATCGTGACACATTCAGATCAGCGAGGTTTAGAAATCTAACAGCCAGAGCAAACGATTATATTCTCGCATGACACTACGCACTTGAGTCAACTAGTTTGCCTATCATCGGCTTACATAACAATGAATTAACGCGCGCGCGCGTCGCACAATCTTATATAAATGTTTTTTCGCCATTAAAATGTTCCGAAAGTGAGGACTCTGGAGTGCCACGTTTTTCAACATCAATGGTTCCGAGGCAACCTTGAGCAATGACACGACAAGATAAGGATATCACTAGATTCTATCACGTAATAAGTAACTGAGAAGACTTCAAGCTCGCTTATTGTCCGCTCTAATAAAATTTATCTATAGAAAAGAGTAAAACTTGTATATTACATGCAAGATCAGTATGAAATAAAATCTGTTCCAAGTGAAGCAATAAGTAGCACAAACAGCTGAACATTCTGCACCTCCGCTGGGATCGAAAAATTCCTCAATCCCTATATTTCTCTTCCTTCCATTAATTGCACTAAAAAGAGACTTGCGCTTGTATTTGCACATTTGTACACGCAGTCATGTTTAAAAGAGACAATTGACAACGCGTTGGGTAACGTCTCCGCGTATATGTATGCCTGGATTTCTAACAGTGACACAATTATTCGCGAAACGCGTGCGGAATAAGTGTTTGTAAATACGTTACAGCCGATCTCCACGCCAAATTGATAACAATATTCGCTTATTGATACTCCTGTGGCCTTCGATTTTTTTTATCTATCTGCGATCTAATCACTGGGTTTTCTCTTGAGAGGAGCTCAAGATCCCAGTATCAGGCTTTGCGGTTTGACTACCGAATCGAAGATTTATTCATGAATGCAACGATTGTCGCGAGAGACGACGCTAAACTTCAATTTCGAGCGAAAATATTCACTTATATTTCCCGACTGTGTTCGCAACTCGTTTGACAATCGACGCGCATTTCACTGGGAGAGATCGAGCTAATCAACGGCGATATCGCTACATTATAACCGTGGTATATCATAAATGATTGAAAAGTTACATACTCTTTGCGTAATGGGTGCGATAAGCGCGGAATACAAAGTTGGCCTTGATTCGACATACCTTGAATAATTCGCTTCGTATCGCAGTCTCGTCACTGTCGTCTCGTTTAGGCCGTTTGCTACTTAATAACGTTTTGCCGAATAATTCAGACACTGACACCGACAGGTACAATTGAGTCGCTAGTGCGGCGTGCAACACCACTCAAAAGAATAAAAGTCATCGAGGCCGGTCATTGACGGACGCGCTTTATTCACGCGTTTACTACTTACTCGCAACAAGTACTCCATGTGCGTAATCTTGTACACTTTTCTCGGACGATGGGCAGTTTCTGAATGAGCACAAGCCACCGCAGCGGAAGAATTCATGATAAGCGTTGCACTTGCAAGATTCAAACAATCAACGTGGGAGGGCGTTAAGCACGAAACGAGCACGCGGGCTTATGAATGAAAAACGAATTGAGGAAGATCTCAATGCACGCACAGCGCGTTAAAGAAAATATATGAAATACGCGTAGTCTCTCTCTGTCTTAAATAAGAATATTTGCCGTAACGCCAAGGCTTTCAAACATAAATTGCCATGAGCGTAACATAAAATGTACCGTAAAAATTGGCCAATCTCGTTGAGTATCGTCTAATCGTAAATTATTTTCAAGAATACTTGACTACAATTGGCCAATTCTTACATGTGTCTTACGTTACTGTGTCAATTTGTGTGTAAAATTAATCGCTTGGCATCTGAGTTGTTGAAACAGGTTTATATACTCGCGTCTCTCTCCCAGTAGTTTTTATTATTCTTTACATAACTCCATAATTTGTGGATAACCAATTTTATACTTATGAATAATTAAATTGAATAATCACCTGTTTTTCACGTGATTTTACTTTATAAAGTAAGTTTCAATAAATTATTCATTAGATACATCAATGTGTATAATATATATGTATACACGTCAAATAAATTTTCGAAAAGTACTAGTTCTTCTTATTATTTTCTTATTGTGGACAACTCAAATTGTGGATAATGATTTTTGCATTTTTGTTTGAATAATTATCTGTTTTCCTTATGCAATCTTACTTTATAATTCTAAAACTTTATAATCCTTACTTTATTATCCTGTAATCTTACTTCAATAAATTATTCAGTAGATATTGCCAATGTACAATATCTATGTGTACATATATCTAATATATGTACACATAGCTGATGTACGCATATATGGAATTATAATTTTTCTTGAAAGTGAAATGTCCCTCGTATGCATTTCTTTTCTCTTATTTTCATTTCCTCCCAAACTTTTTTTCTTAATACATATTTACCGTGTATTTTTTTATAGTAAAATATGCAGAGCACAAACTAACAAAAAACAGTGGAGTATAAATATCAAAATTTTAAAGACCAAAGTCCATAAAAAAGAAATAAATATATGAGTAAAAATCTTTCATATAAGAAAAATGCAAATACAGAGTTAAAACGCGACAGCATTTCATAAAGCACTGACATGTGTAAAATTTTAAAGTGAGTGAAATTGCGCTGATTCCTAGGGCTGCGTTCGGAAACGTCACTCGAGTACTCTTCCTCTCTTTTTATCTCACTCTTGTATCTCGTTCACTCCAACGTAACGGGTACACTTGGGTGACGTTTCCGAACGCAGTCTAGGTTGGTCAAAAGTGGGAACTATAATTCAATTAGCTATGACATTTTGACAGCTTTGTTTTTAGCTGGTTGTTTTTCATGACTCTTGATTCATCCGGCAAGCGGGAATGTATCAAAACAGACATATATAATAGTGACATTTAGTGGCAGCTTGATGTTTCATACATACATGTTAATAATTTAATAATTTAATAATTATAAATAAATTTAATAATTTAATAATTTTTAAATTTAATAATTTAATTAAATAAATTTAATAATTTAATAATTTTTAAATTTAATAATTTAATAATTTTTTATATATATTAACTTTTTACTTACCTTTTTCAACATTCTTACTCGTGTTCGATCGTACCTTTTTGAACATTCGTAATTGCGCATTATACGTGAGCGGATAACCTTCTGATAAACACGTATGTACGAAAAATCAAGCTGTCAAAATGTCATTTCTGTTTTGACACATTCCCGCTTGCCGGATGAATTAAGAGTCATGAAAAATGATCAGCTAGAAACGGACACGGCTGGTCAAAATTTTCTAATGACTATCGATCTGGTGAATGCAACTAAGCATCAATAGCACTAAGCACTCGATAGCATCAATGCAACTAAGTGTACAAACATCTTTCTGCAAAAAAAATAAAAAAGATCTAAGCTTTATGGACGCCCAAAATTAACAAAACGGTTGTAAAACTTATCGTGCTTTCTTATTAGTTCAGTTATTGAAACATTTATCTGAGATTAATATTATCTCGTCGATAATAAAGCTATCAAAGTGTCACTGATTTGAAACATTATTCCCGCTTTTTTGATCGATCTATAATCGTCAAGGTCGCGTATCTAGAAATACCTGTCTGTACGAAAGTTATTTTCCCGCTAATAAAAATGATGATAATAATTGAAATTGATAATAATTGAAAATTATACAGAAGTATTCTTACGTCTTCATAATTCTCCAAACACTTCCGGATCGAAAGAGACCGCTATCAAACGCTGTCAAGATAACCTGTACATAACCTCCAATTCCGCGTCACACTTTGACAGAAGAACGCGAAGTTGGCGAATGTACCAGCTGCGTGGAAACTTGTATCAACTCGACAACTTTAATTATCAGATCACTTCGCAAACTTTTCGTCACTTCCATTCATCAAATGAAAGAATGGAAGATACAAAAGATCAGAAAAAGAGAAACACGCGACATGTACATATGTGTAGCGTATGCACGTAATTGCAACGCAATAAAAGCTAATCCGCAAATAATGTTGTGACAGAAGCAAAATTATAACGACGAAATTTTTGCCTACCTTTCTGTCGTCGACTTGCAACATCTTTTATTCTCCTCAATCTTGATAATAAACACAAATGTACGATATTTGGAAAGATGTCCTTTACGATGCGAAGAAGGTCACAATGATGTTTAAACCTGCCACTTCACACTTTCGAATGTGTTGACGTTGGCTACTGAACACTAGCTAAGTTTGTCTTATACGCTTTCGTGCTAAAAGCATCATTCTGTCTTCCTTCGATATGTAATGAGCGCTAAAGATAGAATGATGCTTTCAGCACAAAAGCGTGCAAAACGAACTTAGCCCTTGTAAAATATTCCAAATTGTGTGTTACGAAAGAGTTTCCATATTTATATATACCTCGAATATATAAGATATCCCCGGCCCAAAATGCGCCGGCTTACACCATTATTTAAAAAAAAAAAACAGACGCTCCGACGTCGTACATAATAAGTTGCCGTCTTAGTTGCACTTTTGACACTTTGTTGTCGATCTGTTTCTCACTCCGAAGACTTCGACATACATCGGTCTCTTTTTGAGTGCAAACAGTGCAGCTAAAAAGAACAGCCGCCATAATGATGCAGTATTGCGAGATAACCAATCAAAATTCGATCAAGGTATCGAGATATCGATTCTCGAAACTGTCGATCTGTACTTTTTATTTACACTTCATACACTTTATTTTCAAACATCAAGATTCAAAAGAGACTTTCAATCCGTGTAATGGCGTTGAGGCGAAGTTCTTAGTGAAGCCTGGAGCCACTTATTGAAGTTGAAGTTGAAAATCTAAAAAAATATAATCAGATCATTGAATCACTTGTATACAGAGTGCAATTCATTAGTCCTGATCTACAATAGGTGTAGTAAGCCATAAGAAATTAACCAATCACAATTGGTTATTCCTCTATAATTCCACTGTGATTAGTCAATTTCTTAAGGCTTAAAGCTTACTACACCTATTGTAGATCGAGGCGTTTAAATATTGGGCGCGTTCAGCGGAAAAAGCGCTCAGTGAGCAATCAGCGAATATTGATTCTTACTGTTAGATCCCTAAATCTAGACCAATTACATTGACGAATTGCTCAACTGTTGTGCAACTGTTGAGTTCGTTGAACGTCCCCATTATGAACACTTTGAAGCACTTAAGGCCCTTGCAGAATGCCAAACAACAGACAATAGAAACAGGGAATAGGAATTCGGATTGGTCAATTATTTCTATTCCCTGCTCCTATTAGCTAATGACTATTTCTATTGCCTGTAGCCTGGCATTATGCAGGGTCTTTAAAGAGAAGCTGTGATTGGTCTATACGACGCTTCGAAGTATTTGCAGCCTTTAATGGATCATACTCACAAGCGCTTCGTTTCGCTGAATATAACCTCATTAAATAATCGAAAATCATATAGTGAAAAGTGATGAGACAAAAACGAAATTTGTAAAAACGTGGGACCGCATCTCTCTTCTGCTTAAAAGGAATAAATATCTACGAAAGTAAACGAAAAGAATAAAGTTAGCGGTGTTGCAATAATCTACAAACTATCATAGATATACTCTCGCGACCGAAAGTTTACACTTAGCAACGAGCATGGCAGAGAAATGCTCAGTGAATACCGACGACGGAGATTGCCCTGCAGCAAAGAGAATCAAATTGGGAGACAACGACGGTAAGAAGAAAAGTGCGGTCGAAACGGATGGCGTGTGCGAACGTACGAATATGTCGAATTTCGAAGTGACGAGAGTGCTACAAAATAATTGCGCGCGTAAGTTGATATGCGTGGAAGGGACATTCAACGATCGCGCGGACCCGGCAATTGTTTTGCTGGAGCAAAAGAGTTTTCCCGATGACAAGGTGTTTCTGAAGAAGGGGTTCTTCAGCGAAAAAACCATCTATCAGAAGAACTGTACCAACGACGTTTACGGGAATTACGATTGTTTCCCGACCGAGGAGTATAACAGTATGTTGATCTATTATTATTGATTGATTATCGACGTTATTGGCTGCTTTCAGCAAAGAAAGTTGCTTTGCAACTATTATAAGGCAGCTTTTTCTGCTGAACATAACTATTGTAATGATTGATGTTCTATAAACATTTGTGTATATTTCTTGAAGGTCTACGTGCAACTGTGATACACCCTGCTACACCGAATCAAATCAAGAAGTACATGAAACAGGAATCATCATATATGATAGATGAAACATATGAACTCTACCAGCAAGTCACTCTTCCTTACATAGAGTCTATGAGCTTGAGTTTGGAGGTATGATTTGCAGAAGATGATACATATTATATTACTGAGTATTATTATAATTATAATCAAAATAATGAAACCTATATTTTTTAATGTCGTTTCTTTTGTAGTGGATAACTAATATTCTTGAGCACAAGGCTGAAGAAGAAAATATTATTTATGAGGATACTGACAAGGAAAATGGTTTTGTCCTAGTACCAGACTTAATATGGGACAAACAGCTAAATACATTAAAGCTGCTGGCTTTGCCTTTAAAAAAAATTAAATCGCTAAGAGAATTGAATGGATCTCATCTTCCTTTATTAAGGAATATACAAAAAGCTGGGACTGAGGCAATTAGTAAAAAGTTCAATATATCTGCCTCACAACTTAGAATATATTTTCATTATCAGCCATCATATTATTATCTACATGTACATTTTTGCTATCTCATGTTTGAAGCACCAGGTAAATCTACCTTAATAAAATTTTAAAAGTTATTCTCTATCTATATATAATTTAACAATAAGAATATATATTGGATCTAATATATATATATATATATATATATATATATATATATATATATATATATATATATATATGACTCATTCTATTTCATTTGCATATTTCTCTTTATATAGGAATATATGTGGAAAAGGCACATCTTTTATCAACTGTTATAAGAAACTTGGAATTAATGCCAGACTACTATACAAAGGCTGTTCTCTCATATATGATACGTAAAGATACTCCTCTTTATGAAAGATTCAAATCGCATGGAGTCCTACCATCAGACATTAAAGTGTGAAATGCACGAAACTGTAAATAGTGTAAATAAGACTACTTTATCTATGAAAAGTAGGTGACTCATAATTATAGTTTGTATTTGTTTATCATGACATAATATTGATATATATTTTACATGACTGTGTGGACTATAGAAATTTAAATAATCCATTATAATTTATAATGGATATTTGAGAAGGATACTTATTTAAGTAATCTATTATACGACTTATATAACTGTAATATTGTTATTTAAAAAGTCTTTAGTATGGTTGGGTTAAAAAGTTAAATAGCTTTAACTTAGTTACATTTTATCGGTAACTATTAACTTTTAATTCGATTATCTTGAAGTTAACCATGCCATAGTGTCGCGAGACATCGAAAGGCTGTTCAGTGTAGGAGGACTCATTTTCGTCATCTTCGAGGAAAAATGTCCGACAAAAATTTCGAAAAAAAATATATTACTTAAATTTAATAAGTATCTGTAAATGAAACATGTTTCCAAATAAGATCTGTATTTGTTTTTTCCGTTATTTGTAAAACTGAAATCCTGAAGTCATGAAACCAATTTAACTTTTTAATTGCTTTTTTTTATTAACTTAACTTTTAATTCAATCAATTTCATTATGAGTTAACTTTATCTTAACTAAGTTAAATTTTCAAAGTCATTAACTTTAACTTAATAACTTAGTTAAAAAAAAAAAAGTTAACTTACCCAACCCTGGTCTTTAATGATAATTAAAGACAAGAATATTAATAATGGAATACAGGTTAATTAACTTATCAATTAAAGGAACATGGAATATGTAGTACACATGTGATTTTAATTTATATATTTTATATAAATCAGTAGAATATATATATGTAACTTTATCTATTTTTTCTAATTATAAATTCAGGTGACATAAATTTTTGATAACAGAATTATATAGAGAATAGTAAAAACATAGATAATATATATAATTACGAGATCAGAAGCAGTTCATTCAATGGAAACTATGTCTATGTGAAAAATAGGTAGAGAATATATGTGTAGCATGTAATAGAATTTTTGGTAATGGGGTAAAAATAATAAATACTTTATTAATTATAACCTTTACCATTTGCGCGCGCTTTTAAATCTTTTTATTATTTTGTATATGTGTATGATGCGTTGACACAGTCAGAGAGCAATAAAATGTTTTCAGAGCATGAGAAAGGAAGCTCATATATATATTGTATATATAATATATATATATATATATATATATATATATATATATATATGTATGTATATATGTATTTCTCTTAATTTATTAAAAATTTTGTCATATAATTGCGCGTAATACAGACTTTTTTAAATTTACGATAACCATCTTCATATCCGAGAATAAAACAAAACATTTTCAAGACTAATAGGAACATGTGTTTGTGTATGTAGATACAATTGTGATTTAATCGTTATATAACCCATGTATATTGAAATTAAACAAAACTTTGTATTGCTGTGTTTTCTGTATGATATTGTCAACATACCCGCTCTTTCTCATATTGCTTGTAATTACTATTACATCAAATGCATCTTATATCGTTTTGTAAAAGAGATCAACAATTGAATTGAATTCTACAAGTGTTAAACTGATATTTCTACAGGTAAATCATCGATAGAAATTTACTTGCTTCCACTAAGAAAAGTAACGTTTATCCAAAATGTTATTATCTGAGTGGGAGTACGAAAAGTATATTGGGCTATATCGTTAATCACACTATTAAAATAATTTTGGAACTTTTATATATTGTAGAAATTCCCCTCCTTGTTTTTAATTTAACGTTACAAAGGGAGCGGGATGTGTGAAATCATGCGATAAATTAAAAATGTCGTTGAGAGTTTTATATAAAAATATAACGAAATATCGGAGCGTCTGGTGAACCTCAATGCTGTTTTTTTTATAGTTGCTTATACATAAATTATACGCAGTGTCGGTTTACGATGTTTATTTTAATAAATATTACTACGGAGTATATGTAGCGGTACATAGTACACAATGAAAATTAGTTTACATTGTTAATATATCAATGATTTTTCCTAACTCCTTATAATATTTTGGAAATTGCAATATTCTCGAGTGATTCAACTATAGCAAAAATTAGATATTGCGCGCAAGATACTGCCGTATAAATCGGTTTCCTCACAGAATTTGTCACTTGTAAGCCCGTTTCGCATCTGGACCTATAAAATTATCATAGCAACGCGTAAAACCACCATTGCTACTTGGAAATTTATGCTATGTCGCTTTGACATTCCATACAGATCAGAAGATGCATGTCCTCTCCAACTCATACATGTTCGAAACGGTGTTCCTCTTGGAATATGCAGCAAGGAGGGGAATTGTAATAATTTTTACACTTGTACTCGCTAATTGAGGAAATTTTGCATACCTTCGAGAGGATGAGAGGAGAATTTATAAATCGTATAGTTTTTTTTTCTTTTTTTAGTACGAAAACAAAAGTCAGATATATTCTATGTGACTGACTTGAGAGATAGACAAAAAAAATGCAAAAGAGAAAAACCATTATATATAAATACAAGGTCGTTTCAGCACCACTCCATGGAGGTGCTGTCTCGTTCGAACAGGGTCCAAGTATGAGAGTTACGAACTAACCGGTATAAACGCATGTATGATAATAGTGGCGTATATGCTAGTTCACGTTCTGCAAGTTGCGTTACAATGCACGCGTTACGGTCAATCGCAAGATAAATTTTCACCGTACTTGATTCAGTGTTTTTCTTTTCCTTTCTCTTTACACACCGCCTCGCTGCGCACATGATATATGGAGCACGTAGGAGTACGTGTCTCTTCGAGATTAGGCGTTGTTTAACGGTTTATAGTGTGACGTGACGCACATATTTGATCCGTCTTATCCGCGAGTTATAATACGTTAAAAATGTTTCCTCAACGTCTCGCATTTCTTTCCTTTCTCGTAATCGTATAAGGGCATTTGCGTGTACGGTCGCAATACATATGAGATGAGATCAGTAGCCGTGTTATTGTTGCACCCAACAACATACATTTGTCTTCGGCGATAACTTAAACGCTAAATAAAAAAAAATAAGTACACAGTTGTAAGAGCGTTGTGGAAGCACATAAGAACATTAGTTTTAACGACTAACATTTTGTAAGAAAAAAGGCATCTACGATGATCTTTCGTCAACTGAAACATCGACCAGACTCAACACTGAACTTTAAGTATAAAGTTACACGATAAAATTTTTTTTATCGTCTTCCTGCCAACTTAATAAATTAGTTCTATAATATCAGAGAACTTATAAATTATATATGTATGCATGTATGTAATGTATGTATGTATGTACGTATATATGCATATACATATATATATTCAGGAAGCAGATATTACAAACTACTCTGAATTTGTACACGCCTTTTTCTCTCGCTCTTTCTTTCTCTCTCTCTCTCTCTCTCTCTCTCTCTCTCTCCCGCATTCAAAAAGAGTGCAATAAAAATGAAAAACAAAAAATTAAGTACTTATGCTTGTTATACGTGTCTTTCCCCTCTTATCATCAAAAGTCGAATAATGCGTCTGGAAAAAGGAAACTTACCTCTACGGCGGTCGATTATCATCATTATTAATTTATTATGGTAAGAACATCATTGTATAGTATAACTAAAATAATGATACATATATGTGTGTGTATACGCGTAAATAACTGCATATGTTTCCTTGACGTACGTACGCGATGTACGAGTATACACAAATAAATATGTAAGCGCGAATATGTATGTGTTTATATGTGCATATTTACACGTGACATATGCGTGTACATGTACATATTGTGTGTGTATTGTGTGTATGTCTCATGTACTCTTGTGTATGTATATATCACAATAACTCAGTGTGTACAATATCATCGCGTTAAATAATTAATTGCTCATTAAGCCAGCCTTCTTGGTGGAATTAAACCCATAATAAGTAAATTAGCCAAAACAAAAAAGATAAACAAAAAAACGCTACAGCACACCCTTGTCAGGTACAATTATTCGTGATATTACATATAAATGTTTTAACGAATCGAGTAGTCTGCCTGGACCATAATTTTTCGAAAAAGAATACACATATCGTCGTCGTTTTAGCATCTAATCCTCGTTACATGGTGAAATCTCAACGCGAATACATTTGAGATATAAGATTAAAGTAACTTCATGTAGCAAAAATTGACTATGCAAACACGCAAGTGCCCTACAACAGTCACACCAATGCAAGTTATAACGGTAGCAAAGTTTCCCTTCAGCGAATATTTACACATCATTATCATATCGTCATTATGCTTATCCGCACATAAACAAACGCAAATAAACGTAAACGTAAAATCGGAACTTAGTACAAACTTACTCGCCAAAGAAAAACGAAGTTCTTTAATTTGCACTCATAAGTCCAAATAGCGACAACATGAAAACGAAAACACGCACAGATCATAAATGCGAAATATTTTCCTTTTCTCCTCTTTCTCATATAAACCAATAGCTATCATGTTTTTTATTTTTCAATATGCATATGAAATAATGTATATGAAAAGATAAATGTGTATGGACGTATGGTTACTCTAACATAATTAGCGTAAACGCAAACTAGGACACTTTCGCGCAATCTTTTGGAAAGTAAGAAAGAAACTAAGCACTGTGCTCAAAGACTGAGAGGTTCAAAATTTAATGATATACATTGTGCATTAACCAGAAGAGGCTTTACAACGTCGTTTTTTTACGTGGATCATCCAGGAAACATGGATTTCTCATCAGAAATTTTTTATCCAACGAGTCCAGGTACTAAATCTTAGCAAGGTGAAAGTGTTTGAGTTCTGTATCTTCTTTTTTTTTCATTTTTCATAGAAGGCAAAAACGAATATTAGATACCTAATAAATATTTGTGCTTGTAGAACATCCTTCTTCGCTTGACTAGTTGGTCATGATCCACTACTAGTGTCCATAAGTAAACTGTCATGACAGTGCTTTGTATATACAATTATGGAAGAATGACTTCGTAAATAGTTAACAATTATGTTCGCGTGTGGACACGCGTAAAGAAGCAAGTACTGGCTTTCTTGCGGATAGAATAAAACGCAGAATTTATTAGCGCCGATCATCAATTCGCGTAATGCCATCACATTTTGTCTCAACAATTCTTTCCTTCAAACGCTCCATGGGCCAATCGTATTAATCGAGTAACAACCCTTATCGATTATTTAGATGAGAAAAATACATAAATCTTAGTTGAAATGAGATAACGTATTATCGTAATCAACAGCCGTAATAAACAGCCGTAATAATTTACAATTTTCGCGAGTGTTTAAAATTAATTGCGCCCAAACACGCCATAATAAATTATTATACTTTTATAATTCGACAGATCTTTCACAAACATTATGCACCACTTGGTACTATAATTTGTCAAGTCATGTAACACTAATATATCCGTGCTTATTTACTTGTACATATATTAAGAATAATAATTACAAAAAACAAAACTCTCCTGCTCTTAACTCCAAAATTAATATTAATGGACGTCACAAAAAAAGGAAAAAAATCAAAAAAGAAAAGTCTTTATCCACACATTTACATCTAATCATAAAGTAGTTTTCATCAACTCAATTTTGCTGAAGAGCAGCGAATTGAACGAAACTTATTTAAATAAAGCGACCATATGAAAATAACTTCACGCTCCAATATTTGTACTCGTGTGATAAAATTATCATTTTAAACTCATTTTCAACGCAAAATATGGCATTACATAATCTCATTCTAACAATCGCTATACGCCTGCGTATTTTGGATTTCTTTTTTATAATAACGAAATTATTACGCTCATCTCTAATTTCGAATCTCTACGACAATTTATCACATTAAAATCCGCGTATCGTTTTGTTTACTTTTATGAAAAGTGTAATAACTATTTTGTACCGTTTGAAAGCCAATACGTAAAAAAGGATCACACTAAACTAAAGTACAGGAATTTAAAAATATAGAAGTACGCGACTAAGAGTATCATCATCATACGGACATATGATCACGTAAAATAAATTTGGCGTCTTGACATTTATCTCGATCCTTTTTTGTTCGATAATGATAATGCTCGTGTACCTTCCTCTGCATGTCAATGGCTATTCCCGCATGACAATTGCATGACGCAAAATGGCTCGATACGCCAATGATATTAAATAGAGTTTGTATGATGGACTAGCTTCAGAGTTACGACTTGAATAAGAATGCATCTTCGACAAGTCATCGCGTGTTTAGGCATATGCTGCAGGAAGATCGTAATACGGATATAGTTTTCCCTCTTATCGTGTTTCAGCTAATAAAAGGCTTCTTATCGTTTCCCTCGTCTCACGGAAGGATCGTCTTGGATTTAATTATACACGTATAATTCAATGTGCAAGTCTCGTGCTACTTGTAGAGAGCGCACACCGTTTGATGCGTTGTAAGCATATGACAAATGTAAGATAGACTCTTGAAGAAATAGGGAAAGCAATGTCTCTGCAAGATATAAAAAATACCCCATTTACATTTTTAAATTTACCATCGGAGCGTCAATTTCAACCTTGCGTCATTATACCTGACGTGTACGGATTCTTTAGAAAATCGCGCGTCATTTCATGTCATATCCGTAAAATCAACCTACAGCATAAATGTTACAAGTTGTCGTTGGATTTTTCCACATTCCAAAATCCAGTAAATCTGTCGTGTGTCACGTGTGATCATAATGTCAACGGCTTTCTTCTTTTCTGAGAGACAAGACATGATACAAAACATGTTTCGCAAAGTTTCTCATGGAAGACTTCAGGTGAGTTATTTCTGCATATTCAGAGAGAGGAGCTCCATATATATAATAAAAATATTGTCTCAAAGAGAAGAGACGTATATGGAGATTTATGGGAGAAATTCGGCAAACTGATTAGTAAATCCGCACTTTTACGTACGCTTGAAGCAACTGAACGGGTAATTGTTTCCACGGAGAAACTTGAAACATCTTTTTGTAGTTGATATATCCTACTATCGGGCGCGCTCTGATGCGATGGGAGATTGCAGTTCTTTTAAGCTTCGGTCGATGCTACAAGGGAACCTTTAGGCGTGTACGCTGTCGCATTCGGATCCAAATTTGACACAGTACACCCTGGACAGGGACTTTCGTTCGAACGTATTTTTGTTCCTGCTACTCTCACTTCACTATTTAAACGAAGCTTGGACGTCGCACAGGTTGGCGCTGGACCAAATGTGTCTTGTGGCATCACAGCTAAATCTTGCGCTATTTTTGTTTTCAACATCTCAATTTCTTTCTCTTGAGATCTGATTAAGCCTAATTCAACAGAGAACGTACAATGTATACACATTGCTGACAATAACAATCCGTAGAAATATATCTACGCTCCCTCTCTTAATAGATCGTAACGAAGTTTATTTCCTATAAATCGCGCACAAACATAGAGATAACGCGTGTTATCTTATAGAAGATAACGGTATCTTATACGAGATAACGTACGCAATCTTTTATAAATCGTACATTACCCGAACATAAATTCGCCATTATGGATCCAAGACGGAAATATAAAGAATATATTTATATGAAATATAAAGAAGATAGAATAGATGAAAACAATCGCCACTTACTTTCTCGAATCTCTAATTGCCGTTTGACCTCGCCAAGTGCCGAAAACAGATCGAGTTTTATACGTGTCTCCGCGCTCAAGCTGTTCTCCAAGTGTGCGTTTTTGTCCTGTAGCGCGTTAAGCGCACTAAGTAAGATTTCGGATTCTCTGTGATTCTCCTTACAACGTGCTGCATCTTTTTCCAATGCGTTACACCTATTGTCATTGCAACGACACATGTCATTAATTTTAAGTTAATTCGTCTCAATTTTTACGCATGACAAAGGCTGACAAGTGATGATAAACTTTGTCCCCCTACCTTTCTTCCTTTGATTTGAGTTCACGACGCAGGTTTTTGAGGTCCTGTTCCATTTGAGATCTACGACTCTTACACGCATCGGTGCATTCTTGTCTGATGAGCGGAGGTGGTGGGGGTGGAATCGCAGAGCGTGCCTCTTCAGCAGCTCGCCGTGCCCTCCGTTCAGAAACTAGAGACGCTTCGCATGCTGTACGTTGCTTTCTTTCCTCCGCAATTCGCTTCTCTAACGAAGACATTGTCTGTTTGTCCAGTTGACGTGCTGTTACCAGACCGTGTAATCTATAATGATAAAATATTTACGATGTGCAGTTTAGTCATGTAATAAATGGCCTATATAAAAACATTTCGCACACAATCGTTAAATACACAGTACACTCACTTGCTTTGTAACTGATCGTTATCATGTTGGAGTTGTTGAATGTCTCCCTTAGCCTGCCTCTCTCCATTCAGCAAGGTATTGATTTGCGATCGTAACTCTTGTTCCAGCTGCCGGCTTGACTGCAAATCTGATTTCAAACGTTTTATGTCTGCCTCGAGCCTGCGACACACCAGTAACCTATTTCAACGATAAATTATCCTGAAGAAATGAATGAGAAGTCTACTGAAGTAATGTGGAAGGTGATACAGTCTTTTTTAAATATTTATAAATACAATATTAAAAATGTATTTATGTGTGCGAATGAATGAAAAATACGACAATATAAAATACCCCCTATTCTTCTTATAGGATTTCAATCCTAAGCTTTTGTGAAAATACATAAGATAATTAATGGATACATAAGATAATTAATGAAATTTTTACATTTGTATATAAAGTATACAAAGCAAAGACGTGCGTGTGTGCACACATAGCAAATACATAGAAAAAATAGATCAGGTTAAGATTAGGATAAGTTAAGCTAAGCTGGGTTTTGGTCAGAGCTAAAAAGAATTAAAAAGCAGGTTAAAAAAGCAAAAAAAAAAATAATGTCAAGGTTAGAATGTAATTTGTTTGTGCGAGGAAAGCTTGTAAGCTCAAAGGGAACAAAAAAAACATATACATACATTCATACATTCTTACATTCTACATTTATATATTTACAAGAGATTCCCGTCGTTAATATACCTTTGACAATAATCGTCTTGCTGTTTCTGTTCTGTTGTAGTGTCACCCGCATTCTTAACTTGCCGAGTCTTACGCTCACGTTGTACACTAGTAGTCGACGATGAGTCGCGATTCTCTTTCACATTGTTCCATTTTCCAGTCACTGAACCATTCGATTGTGACTTTATCGTAGTATGTCCACAACCCTTAATAGACTTATCTTTTTCTACTTCATTTACGTCAAAGTCATTTACAGAGCTACTTTAAAAGATTACTAGTGAGTACATCTCGCGTTATGTGTATAATAAAAAAACATATAGCATCAAATTTTTCAACTTTACTCTTTAACGCATGTTTGACATGCTCCAATTTACTTCAAGAGCAGACTTTGACAGTGTAGTCGAGTAAAGTCGAAGAAAAATGGTATTTTTTATATATATAATTGACCTTACCCAACCCTTTCAATAAGCTGTATGTCACTGTGTGTCACAGTACTACAATTACTGTGTATAAATTTCTTGTCACTCTTATCAGATGGCGATATACTTGATACATTATGTTTATTATGCTGTTCTTCCTGCTTTTCACCTTTGTCTAAAGATTTTCTATGAGTAGTTTTGTTGCCAACACTATGTGTTTGTGATGTGATTTGACTACTATTGTGTACTCCGCCATTTTGTACGTTTGTTTCTACGGAATTGTTACTGCCCCCTGAAAAAAGAAAGTAAAAAAACGGACACGATTAGAATATATTTTAATACATGAACGCGATTATTCATTCGGAGTAGTTTGATAATAAATACAAGCTACCTCTGCTTTTCTCAGGGCTTGGATTGTACTGTGGACTCAACTTGTGTGTTTGAGTTTTGACATGTTGTTCTATCGATGTAACAATGTGTGCCTGTACTTGTTGTATTTGCTGCATTGACATAGCTTGTTGCTCTAGAGGCAGTGCTTGTTGCAGTAACTGCAGGTAGAATTCATTCTCCTTTGCCACATCTTTCCGTTTTCTCTATTAACCAAAAAAGCAGATCAAGATGCATAAATGTTATGACATTACCATAAAACTATATATATAATATAGTATATTGCAAAATTATATTTTTACATTTGTAATAAATCAATATAGTATTGGTAAAAAAGACTAACCTGCCTCATTCTGAAGCCTACATAGCTCTTAAAACCAAAGCCCAATGTAACTACAGGATAGCCAATGCTGAAAATTATAGACAGATTTAATTTGAATAGATTATTGATAAATATTGTATAGAAACAGACACATGAAGAACAATATCACGACTATATATATTTTTGCAATGACTAGAGAAAAAAATACCAATGTGCTGCAAATGGCCGGCAGAGGTCTAGATGAAATGGCATATGACGTAAGTCACGCAACCGCACTGCTGCTTCTATGTATAGAAATAGTAGCCACAGCATCACAGTTGGTAGACACACTCCTTTATCTGTTCAATGTCAATTTAATTACATTCATTAAAAGTTAATTCTGTTAGTGCACAATATGGATTTTACTGATATTAAGCAAGAAACTACATTTTCACAAATACATGCAAGTACATACATATATATCATTCAATATCCTATAATCATTTGTTTTTTACATACCTGTGTGCCAAACATATTGCACCCAAACATAAGTGCTGGCAGCAAAGAACAACCAGTGCACAGGGATGAAGAAAAAGCAAATCATGTCTGATGTAAGTGCAATACAAATAAAAAACACAGAGAAGGCCTGAAAAATGAAAAAACATGTTAAAGTTGTTACATGTAGTATATTTTCAAGCATGTGATACAGCATCTCATGATAATCTACAATTGCATAACACCAATACTCACCAAGCCTTGATATTTAAAGGAATCGTAAACGCTTCGGAGGAGCAGCCAAAATGGCCACAAAAATTCAAAACGGAATTCTAAAATGAAGTCTGCCAAGATCACCATGGCCCATAGTAGAAGAAACTTCAGATAAAGCAAAGTACTGAAACAGATGTATAATTATGTGTTTTAATATATAGTCAATGAGTTGTTCTTTGCAAATAACATACTCGCAATCACTAAACTCATATGTACTATGAATATATGTCATTTGTACTATGAATTAAATCTGTGTGAGAGCAGCAAACAGTTAGGAAACAAGATACACAGCTCAAGTTGATATTATAAAAAAAAGAAAACAAAAGGCTTACATAACACTAAGATCTCAAACATCACAAGTGGGAGGAATACAAGCTAGAAAGTCCATCAATTGCCCGATTAATCCCATGATATTATGAAGTACTAACAGTCTGTTAGTACACTGTATAGCAGTGCATGAAGGCATTAAATGCCAACACAAGTACTGCATACGTATCTTCGCATGTAAGCACAAAGATTGAGGAAGACATTAGAACAGAGGAGAAAGACGCGGGCAGGCAATTGATAGAAACAAGTACGCATAAATCAGATGTGTCGGACTCGGGGATAAGTGTCAGTTAAACGGCGAGGAAGACGCGTCTTGCAGCGATCGCACGACGCATTCGGGCGACGCGCGGCTCGCGACGGCGTCATTGTGGTGCTCAGCGAACTCGCGCTGGCACCATGCGCCGTGCTCATTCATACGCCGTAGTCAGGTCGCATTTCTCCGCAGCGCGTACACGGGTTTTTGGTTATTTTTGAGGGGAGAACGGCCATTCCTGGACGACGAACGCGCATATGGCGGCGAGAAAGGGGGAGAATTTACCTTCCGTAGATTCCCTCGGTGAGCTTGTTGCGTTTCAAGGGCCTCCGAAGCTTACCGCACTCGACATTTCTCCTCTTCATATTCCTCTCGACCACTTTCACCAGCACCGGCTAAGCGACGTTACTCGCGGCGCGCTACGGGGAACGGAAAAAAGCCGCCACAGGACAGAATACACCTCCTCTCGCGCCAGGGACTCGCGCGTGGAAAAAACTCGAGCTCTCTCTCGCGCGCGCGACTTCTATCAGTCTCTTTTGTTGTCATTCGTCTGTGGACAGATTCGAGGTCTCACGACGGTTTACCAAGCAGCTGATTGGTCCATCGCGGGACATGGCGCTTAATCAGCGACAAGGAATCACCTGCCGATTAATCGCGCGTGCCTGCCGTGAGTCGCCTGCGTCGCGAAAATCGGCGGCGTTTGTCTCGCACGCGCGTCGCGTCGTTCGTGTTCCGATCGCGTTTAGCTCTGATCGCCCGCTGGAATATCTGTCATGCAAGCTAACGCGCGTATTCTCGCGTATTTTCGCTCTTATCGCGTTCGCGAAAACGTGCCTCCGTGAACCCTCCTCTCTCTCTCTCTCTCTCTCTCTCTCTCTCTCTCTCTCTCTCTCTCTCTCTCTCGTGAGCTACTCTGCTGTCGCAACCGCGCGATTTTCAGTCGCACGACGATTTCGAGACCCTATGGGGGACGAAACATGTCTTTATCGATCGTAGATGTCTCCTGACCATGCTGCAGTCGGTTCGTCGGCTCGTTTCGAACGCGCAAGTTAGCAGCGCTCGCTTCCTGACTTGGCAACACGTTTTCTTTCCTCTCTTTTCGAGTAGGATCCACTTGACGTTACAGATACTCTGAAGTGCTGTGTAGACTAATCATAACTCTTCTTTACGCGTTTCGAAGCGATTGTAGCCTTAAGTGGATCGTACCCTTCATTAATCCATCATTTTGCGCGTATTATCAATTGACGGATTCAAGGATCGTCTACAATGTAATTGCAGTTAAGCCAGATCTACAATACGTGTAATAAACCTGTAGCCTTTTGCTTTAAGACCTATAATTTTTTACAAAAAGCATTTTTCGCAATGCCTTAATAACTGGAATATGGTTAGCTCACTTAAAGCTTAGCGATTTTAAACAGCAGTGAGAAACTTTTTTAGCATGCGCATCTCATTCGTACATTGTCGAGAATTAGGTGTTGGCTCTACAATAGGTGATTTAAGTTCTAAGCTTTAAGAAATTGACCAATCAAATATGAGGAGAATAATTGACTATAATTCAGGCCTGTTCTATTCGTTTTATCGGAGTCGAATATGTAAACGCAGTCGATAGTCCAATAAGGTGAACTCGTTTATAGAAAATAAACCCTTTGTCCACAATCTTGCTTTAATTTTTAAGTTGTAAGAAATGGATTAACCACAGTTGATTATTTTAAAAATAATCGACTGTTGTTGATCAATTTATTACGACTTAAAGATTAAAACAAGGTTGTGGACAAGGGAAAATTCATTGGACCATCGACTGTGTTCTGGCAACTTCGATAAACAATGGCCGATTCTACAATACATAGCTACATCAGCGAAAAGAACAGCTCAGAAAGCATTTAATGATTATCATTTCTGATTGGTAAATACTTCTGTTTGTGAAGAATCTAAAAGAATACTCCAATCACAGACAATAATTATTAAGCGCTTACTGAGCTATTTTTTCCGCTGATGCAGCTATATATTGTAGAACCGGCCTCAGTTCTCTGATCTCCTATTTCCTTCCCGCCGAAGGAGATAACATGTTTCGGCTACGTTCCTTTTGGGCGCTCACGCGCTGTAAGCGTCATTCTATCTTTATCGCTCATTAGATGCGGAAGAAAGATAGAGTGACGTTTATAAGCGCTTAAAGCACGTGAGCACCCAAAAGGAACGCAACCTTCGAATGTGCCGTTCGTGCTCGAGTGAGTTTTATCTACGTAATTTCTAGAAATCTATCTTTATCACGTTTCCGCTCGGCAGTCGATTATCGTCGTCTGATTCCGGTGAGCGGCAAAAACTATGTTGTCGACGCTGAAAGTGAGTAACGAAGACCGAAATAAAGAACTCATTTGCGACTTGCTAACAATCAAACTCGAACCGGCGCTCTTCCGTTATCAATGGGCGACAACCCGCGAAACAAGGAATTGAAAAGAGCGGCAGATATGATTTCGAAGGAAGTCAACTTGACGAATTTGGCGGAGACGATTAGTGAAAGGTCATCATTCGATAACAAGATGAAGATGAAGATGCATCTTGCACACGGCGTCATTCTAACCGCTGTCTTTGCTCTGTCCATGTACAAAGCGACTAAAGACAGAGTGACCACGTTACTAATCGCGATATCCGTGTTTATTGTTATTCTTTTCATCTGCGACTTGATGCTGCGTCTGTGCCAAGTCCTGATCTCACTCGCAGACACGAATTCTAGCGAGGATTTCTCGTTGTTGAACCGTTACCTCATCCCGAATACCGCATCCGTGGTGGTGGTTGCTTGCGCTGCGTTGTCACTTCTGGGACAGATTGTCGTCTCGCGAAGATGCCCATTGTGTTACGTATGGAATTGCGAACCTCATGTATGCACACTTTCCATGATTTTTTCTTTTTTGTTGTTGAGGTCGGTGGCTTTTGAATTAGAGACAAGTGGAAGTGCAGTGTTTAATCTTAATGATCTGAAGGGCTTGGATTATGGCACTGGCATGGCATACAGTTATTATTACGGTTACTTGCGACTCATACTGCCATCCACTGGCACCTATAGCAAGAGCATAGTCGAGAAGATTGAGAATTTCGAAGATAAGCATGGCATCACTTTTCCAGTGCACAAACTGTTCATCCTGATACCATCGTCAGGCTATATTCCTCCAGATTTGAAGGAGGCGTCTGACCAATGGATGGAGAGTGCACAGGAACTTGAGGAGGAAAAACGCAACCGGGCTGGTGTTGTAGGCAGAACTTACCGCAACAATGCGTACAAAATTTATCCTGGTGGACGCAAGTCAGGTGCTAATCCAGTGTATGTGGTGGTGGAAGGTGCGACACCTTTGTTAACGTTCTATGAGGTACAGAAGCACAATCATGCAGAAGCTCTTTTATATAGGCAATTCAAGCACGAGATTATTACTACTTTTCACATGAAATTGCACAGTGCCTTACAGAACGAACTGGACACCAAAGATTTATGTGAACTGATTTATTATGATGATTATAAAGATGGGACTAAAGTTAATATTGCGAAGATAATTTTAAAGAGAATATCTGAATTAAGATGTTCTACATAAATGTTCAAAGAAGTTAATAGGGAGTATGTGATAATGACATGTCCTATGATACACTTATGTGATACAGAAGATTTATATTTATATATAATAATTCATTTCTTCACATATACCTAAGAAGTGATACTTAAGAAGTTCATTTACTAGAAACTAAAATGCTGAAAATTATGCAAAAATTTGATGTAACATTTATTGTAGTGAAACACCAGATAAAATCTGGTGCGACTTGTCTATATCGTTCATGAAAAATTTGATACTGAATATTACAATGTAGCACATAGATTACCGATCAAAGGTTTGAAATCTAGTAAAAATGTATTGAAAATAATTATCTGGATTATTATCAAGATTCTTGTTGATAAATCTTTTTATCAGTGACTTCAAACCTTTGACCAGTACTGTATAGTCTTATGGTAGAAACAATAAGTCATCACTGTTTTAACGTAGCTTTGTAAAAAGTGATATCATCCAAATAAAAAAAACTTGGTTATAAATGTTATATATTAGGAAAATCAGCATTAGAGAAAGAATAGTATTCACTATATCGTTTTTGTGTAATCGCGATTGCAAGTCAGAAAACTGCTGTTTTGTGTTTTGAACAGTATTGTACTGAATGAAATGTGGCAGAGTATGAGCAATTTTCTTAATATGCTATTGAAAATATACATTTGATGTACAAATTCCTTAACATATAAGAATATGAGTACAGGACCATATTGTGTAATATTTTATATTTTACTTGCTTATATAATATATACCCGTATATTTTCATGCACTGTATTCAATTTTGCATCTCCTATGTTTCACCAGGATACTCGCGTCGTGACATGGAAGGAACAGTGGCGAGGCATTCGTATAAAATGTATCATTTATTCGCAGATACAAGTCCCTTAAGAAACAGATTACAAAATATTGCGTCAGCAGATTTCAAGGGAAGACATCACGATCGTCGAAGCCCACAGCCGTTCTTAGCCACGTAAAAATTACAATACGTGTCGCACACGTCGGCCGGGCGCTAACGTCGAGAATTAAATGGATTGTATATAATACATATGGGAGTAGACATATGTTGCTTCGTCCGCGACGAAGGTGTTATCGCTTGTTGAAAGGTCGTAATCCTTAGTAAAGACACCAGTGAAAGGCACAGAATTGAATCCTGGGCAGGTATGTTAAGCCACACTCTTCCGAAGCATGCCGTGCGACATCGACTTTCGAGCATAGCTAAGAACACACGTCGCAATCACGAGTGGCAGTAGCGGTAGCGCTGGTATTTACATCACATATCCATTTCAAATTGCTCCGCGGACTCCTCGATCAGAGCGTCTGTAACACATTGCATTAAACATGAAAAAAAAAATTCGCACACATGTGTGAGATTGATATATTTTATTATCAGAACGAGCACGCGTGGGATCTCTCCCAAGAGCACACGATAACATTGAATGGTAATGTGACCCGACCTTTATCAGCATTTTTGGCGGGATTCGTTGTGATGGCTGGTGTGCCTTTCAGCAATTCCGACGGTATGGCCAGTGTGCTTCGTGGCGGCGTTCGTGATATCGGTGAGTTCCGGAGGTTCATGAGAAACGCGCGCTCGTAGACGATGCGTGTACCTGCATAAAATCCCATTGTAAGTCCCATTATATGATTGGATCTTAGGGCTCCTGTAAAGCCATTCTGGACGCATAAAGAACGTTAAGCATGCCTTTTCAATTCCAAGCTCTGTTTCTTTTGTCACACATAACATTTGTTTCAAGCTTAAGAATCAGAAAGACATCTCGCGTTTGACAATAGAGTCCATAATAGGGCTTCAGGTCCTTCGCCGCGGGACTCTTGATTGACGACGTCGGAGACCGGAAAATACACGTTGAAGATTCTTGCAAAATACGTTAAGATAAAAACATATCCATAAAATGACGTAATCGGTCGAGCAGACTTATAAAATAGTCTGAATACTTTCCTCTTGTTCGGATAATCAATGAATGAACGTACAATTGATATGTAACCTTCCTTTTTAATTTATATGTAACCTTTTAATTTATATGTATTCCTTTTTAATTGATATGTAACCTTCCTTTTTAATTTAACTTTCCGCATGATTTCCTCACGTTAATTTGATTAATACTTATTGATTGTTAAAGCAGAAAAAAAGTGTTTGGACTATTTTACAAATCTGCTCGAAGAAGTATAATCTTGTGAAAACAATTTTGTTTCAATGTATCTTGCAAGAATTTTAAGCATTATCTTGTTTTCCTTATGTCATAAATCAAGATTTTTGAGGAGGAAACGGGAGTCTTAACGAAATTCTTCGGAATTAAGAATATACTTAAATTCTTATTATACAATGACAGAAAAAAATATCTTTGTCGGAAGAAATGACGTTGAGATGATTCAAGAGAAAGACATGGAGGCAGAGTAGAAAAACGGGTTCGATTTTGAAGGGAAATTTATAAGTGAACGGCGGAGAAAAACGAGACAACATTGACGTCGATGGAGAGGATACAATGACTGCGATGGCGGTACGGAAAGCAGCGCAAAGTATCTATTTATACAAGTGTGTATTTCTGTACTAACACCTAAGCGAAAGGGGTGCAAGGATCGGCGAAGTCGCCAAAACAAACTAATCGTGGAAAATGCGGAGACAGCGTGCGTGTATGCGAGACAGAGCCTCCCACTATATCAACGAAAGAGACACGTCGTGGAATTTCTTTGTGCGTGTAGTTGCGACTTCACGCTTTGGCAGGGAATTTGCTCAGGCGGTCTTCTGGTGAACGTGTCCGGATAATAGACACACGAATACGCGACGGCAACGGCGGATACTGTCCGCAATCCGCGAAATGAAGCCACGTTTGAGAGGAGAATAGTCGTACGACTTGGACTGATTTTCGCACGAGACATTTCGCTTCGTCAGCGATTGTCTCGCCGTCATTCCACGTCGCACTCCGCAAAACAACTATTTGCGCGTGAAGACTGTTTTTTACTCGTCACACGTGTGCGACATAAGGCGTGTAAAAAAGCTATTTCCAATCGAATGAGATCGCGTGAGCGACAACGTCGACGACCTAGCGTAAGGTGACCCAGACCTCCCGTTTGCCCGAGACAAAACCGATTTTACATCCCATGTTTTAGATCTTCTCGAATGCTACCTGGGACACCGATTTATCCCGAATTTAATTAAACTAACCTGATTTAGAAGATTTTAAGAATTTTTTTGACAAAAAAAGTGACGTTTAAAAAATTTCATAACTCAACAAACTTAACAAGTTTAAATACAGTAACTTTGCTTTTTAATTTTATATGAGGATAAGAACAGCTTTATCTTAATTATTGGTATTGTATATAGACCCTCATTGTTGTCATATTGTTTTTCATATATGTATAAATAAAATATTGTCTTATATATAACATAATTATGTATGTATGTGTGTGTGTGTATAAATTCATATATTTATAAAGTGTTCCGGATTTAGGGCTAGGAAATCTGGTCGCCTTACTTTAAGCGAGAGATTTAGTGAATACAACTGCGCGAATTTTCGGTCGAACGGCCTTCCCCCCTCCTACCAATCTCTCGTCTGAAGCGGCGCAATAACAAATTGTTATTCGTCATTGTTTACGTGCGACGTTATTATGCGATTGGACGCGAAAATGAAGTATACTACGCACGGAAGATCGTGTGGTTACAGCTAAAGTTATCTCGAAGGTCTCAGCGGGAGCCCGTTTTCGCTGGTGCGCACACACTTGTTTTCAAAGCCGTGACTTTTATCGCGTCGCGGCGGCGATAAACATTACGCGTCACCGATCACGTCGGCTGATGTTGTCGAGCGCATACCGCGTATATACTGATTTGGCCTTGGCTAAATCGCCGAACATTGCGCCAAAAACGTACTTGCGCTCGCTCGCATACTGTCGGACGTTACGAGCGCGTCGTTACGTCCGCCGTTCGTTGCGTCTCCGCAACGCAGCTCTAGCGCGCGCCGTTCACAATTAGAGAAAGAAAAAAAAAAAAAAGAAAGAAACGGCGAGAGAACGTTGGAATGTCGTTTGCAAGGGAGCCTGTTATCAGAAAAGTCGATTGTCGCGCGTGGAATGTAGTCATGCGTATTGAAACGCATTACCGACAATCTGAAACTGAGGTGTGATTTGAATTTAAAATCGCCTACGTAAATCCGAGCCGCGTGCGTGAACGATAACAAGCTTTTAAGAAATAAATTATGCATACGAGTGTTTATATCGAGGTGATTGTACATTGTGAAACTTCGTCGCATTGGAGAACGTACAAGTATCCTAGCGTGTTATCGCGTGTTAATCCTTTCGTATTTAGAGTGTATCTCCGTTTTATCGCGTTTGAATGATAAATTTCTGCACGTTTTCTCAGGTCAGATTTCTAAATTGTTCCTCCGGAGCGATTGTAATCCGCTTAGAGAGGATGATGTAAGGTTGACCTTTTTTCTCTAGTTAATCCTCTTTCAAAAATCTTTCCCAACTTAGCTTTTCTCCGGTCAAGAAGGTTCTAAGGGTCGATGTTGTTTTTTCAATGACGCATCGCTCAAAAACTTTCTATTTATCGAACAAAAATCTATACATTTATTTCATTACTTAAGGTAAATGTCTCAATGACTGAACTGAGAAGGAAGCATCAGTTTTGTATTTTTATTAATAAATAATTTACTGAATTACTAACAAAACTAACGTTTGTATAAAAATTTCGCGATCGGAAAATAATAAAAAATAAAATAATAAATACCAATTATAATTTTAATGAGATATTAGAGGTATTTATTAAAACTCTAACTTTAATTTGCAAGAGATTAAAAATGAAAATTAAAAATAGCACGCTAAGCAAAGAACGCGTGTAAAAAGTGTCAACCTTAATTTTTAAATATCTCAACTTTCACGAATAATCAATCTCTCTAATTGCACAAGCAGATGATATTTCAATTGATGTGTAGCGCAAGTTTTAATTAATTCTTAACAAATTTATCATGTCTTGTAACCTCCTTAATCGACGTTCTCCCGTGACAAAGCGCGAACAAACGCGTTCTTTTTCCGCGTAACAAGCTATTACTCTCGCCTTGGCTCGCTCTTCCTTTCGATACAAGTGGCCGCGACGCATTCGCAGAAATGTAAACACATTACCGCGATAGAGCGTGCTTCTGTCGTGCTGAAAACGCAGTAAGCCTAAGCACGTATCTCGCACGTCTGTCCCGACGCGTGATCATAAGTTTTAGTCTCATAAGTTTAATATCAAGGTCGTGCGCAATGTTATCGCGGATATTGATAACTGCGCGACCACTTCGGCCAAATGTGGAACAGGCACATCCGCGAGGTAAACGTCGAATTATTTCATGCCGCGTTCCGATAAAGAGCGATCGATCGCGCTCTCCGAAATATGCAATTACATAACAAACGACGCGCCGATCGGCCGTGTGCGAAAGAAGTCATCGATAATCGTCGACTATGCCGACTGACAATTGCGCGATGCGTAAATAATAATGGCCTTGGCGGGCAACTCGCACGTGTGTGCATTTGTTTACCGAGGCCGCGCCGACCTCAAACAGTATATCGATATCTACAAGTCGACGTCTCAGCGATTGTGCGACCGTTTACTCGCCCCGTTCTTTTCTTCCTTTCTTGTTCTCTCTGCAAATTTATCGGGCGTCTGCGACTGCAGCACGGCCCAATTTGCGCGCACGGAGGATGAGTAACTTATATCTACTCTATATCGACAAATATTTGTCTTATCCGTCTGCGCGTGTCGCGCGAAATTTGCGTGCATTAACTTGGACACGATTCGTGACTAAAACTCGTCGACAAGCGAACGGGGCGCCGGCAATTAAGGTAGATGTACCTTCAATGCAGAATACGTGCGCACCAAGAAAAAAATACTTGAAAACTTACACTTTGCAAAATATAAGGTTGTATTTTTATTCCTGAAAAAAAATTTGTGAATTGAATACGAATATTTTAATTTTCAACATAAAATATGTTGAGAAAATAATACTTACAAATTTATTTGTGAGATATAGTTTATTTTCGCGAAATGTGAACTTTTATCTCACAAATAGATTTTCAAGGATTTCTTTCTCAGCATTTACAGCGTTTAGGCAAGATATTCGAAAATTTATTTGCGAGATAAAAGTTCACATTACTCAAAAATAAACTTTATATCCCACACATACATTTTGAAGTATACTTTTCTCAATGTATATATTTTATGTTGAAAGTTAGAGTATTCTTATTTAAAAATCAAAGCACTAAGAATGCACAGGATTAGTGTACGTGGAAATTGATACTTTTACCTCAAGTAGAATGAAAAGCGAGAATGCACCGAATCTCTCCGCGATCACAAAAAGCAATATCTTTTTAATTAATTTGCGCGGCGCAAGCTACTTCGCCCATCGCCGAGTTCGGATTGCCGATGGTAAGACCGATCCCCGGCGAATTCGAATGATTGCCATGACCTCTCTCGTTTCTGTCTCCTGCTTCTTGCGCTCAAATTCTGATCGTGTTTTCGCACGTATGCACGGTCGCGACGTGATTTTATTAATAACAAGTGTCGTGGCGTCGTCCCCGTCTCATAGTCGACTGCAGGCTTGAAAGATAAAGAAGAGAGAAGAGGTGCAAACAAGAAAAAAAAAAAGAAATCACTCCCAAGATGCGGGAGAAGTGAAGCGATAAACTGATGCAAACTGACCTCCCGGTGTCGTGGAGTAGAGAGTGCCCCCGGGAGTGGAAGAGTAATCGGCCGGCAACTGATTGGGATCATGAATGACGACCCTCTTGGACGGTATACTCTGGCTCTGGGTAGCCTGTCTAGCGATCGGAGATGCTGACATTGTGCTACTACGTTGCTGCTCGGTGCTTCTCTCGGTTCCTTCTCTTTTGTCAAGCTCTCGCGCGTCTCACAATCGATCCGCCGAAAACAAAGAAGCTCGTGTTTGCTCCGCGTCGCTGACGCCTCTCCGCCGGGCTGCTTGGCGATAAGGAGCACGAATGACCGCTGCGTAATAACCCGGAGAACGGACAAGACGCGCAATCTAGACAAATGTGCACGAATTTAAGTCGACAATGGAAGCGACAGAGGCGACTTCGCCGGGGGATCGTGCGGTTACTCGTGAACCAAGCTTTTCACGCGCGACCGCTACTTCCCTACGATTGATTCAAGTGCGAATTTTACGCGCTATCGCGACAATGCGTGTTTGCTCTCGCGAATATAGCGCAACATAACCTACAATGCCAAGGAAACGCGACGTACCGCGATGCGCAACAGATAAGCGAGAATTCCGCTTATATAAAGCTTTCCCACTCCTCACCGTGGCGCGATATTCGTCTCTTCACCGTGGTCATTAAGTGTGAGCATTCTGGAGGTGGTAACGCGAGATAGATCTGCCGCAAAAGGAGCGAAATGTAAACATGATAGAAAAGTAGCGTAAAGCCCGTATCACACTATCGACTGCAAAGGCCGACTCGACTGCCGATTCTCTTTATAGACCAATCACAATGATAGGATCAGTTGACACTTAACTGTGATTGGTTTATAAAGAGAGTAGCAGCCGGGTCGTCCTTTGTAGTCGGTAGTCTGATACGGTCTTAAGTTCCGATCTACAATAGGGGTGCTTTCCAATTGCTTAACACACTTGACACACACGTACACAAAACCAGTATATTGGTCACATATTATCTAAAATATCTTGTAAGATAATATGCAACAAATAAACTGGTTTTGTGTGACACAGTGTACGCAAGTGGAAAGCACCCTATGTGTAGTAAGCTTTATGCAGGTAATGCAGGATTCATACCGCGTCCGATATCCGACATACAGCGTCCGATATCCAATAGAAGAATAGCTTTCTAATATAGAATTCAATCCTCTATTGGAAAGCTATTCTTTTATTGGATATCGGACGTCATACGTCGGACATCGAACGCGGTGTGAATCCTGCATAAGACTTAAGGGACGTCTACATTGGAAGTAAGCAGTAAAAAGTAGGAAGTAAGAATAAGAAATTGACCAATTATAGTTGATTATTCTTCTCACATTCGACTGTGGTTGGTCAATTTCTTACTCTTACTTCCTACTTCTTACTACTTACTTCCAATGTAGACGTCCCTTTAAGATGCGGGACCAATGATCCATAAATATATCCGTAACCATAAATAAAATCGAGTCATCATTGGTTATGATATTTCATGACCAATCACGACTCGATTTTGTTTATGGTTACGGATACAGATATGTTTACGGACCATTGGACTCACACCTTTAGGGTACAAACTAGAAATGCTCGATTCTTAATCGATTAAATTCTTTCCCTAACAAATTTAGGGAAAAAGGGTTGTTCGTGCTGCTTGCATGTTTCATGCTTTTCGCTTTTAAAAAGAGATGGACGCCTAATCAGACGCTTAGAAGAAACAATCGAGTTGGTTGTCTCGTTTTTGCTTCTTCGAAACATTCCAATATACTTTTGTTTAGTTTTAAATACGAAAAGTGCGAAGAATGCAAACAACACGAATAAGCCTATTTTAGGGGAAAGAATCGAATCGATTCAGAATCGGGCATTTCTAGTGCAAACCCTTACAGCGGTGTAGCGGAGCGCGGAACGAGAGCGGAACCAATCACGAGCGAAAACTATAGAACATGCGTGATTGGTTCCGCTCTCGTTCCGCGCTCCGCTATTCCGCTACATGGGTTTACATCCTTAAGAAATTGACCAATCACAGTGGAATTATAGAGAAATAATCAATTTTGATTGGTTAATTTTTTACGGCTTAAAACTTTGTACACCTATTGTAGATCGGAACTAAACGAATATATAGACATATACCTATATAGTACCTATATAGAATTTATATCTTTGACTATATAACCATGGACCGCTAGCGGCAATTCTAAGCGTCTGTAACATCTGTAACGCCGCCAAGACCAAATAACGGCAAAAGAAGAAACTCAATAGCTTTATTCTGTAACTCGTTATTGGAGTTAACGACAGTTTCGTTATCTTTGCGCAGCTTTTGTATATCGTAAGCTGCGCAACGATAACGAAACTGTCGTTAACTCCAATAACGAGTTACAGAATCCCAGCACTGTAGAGCAAAACAGAGTTAGTAACGTAAACGCTTCTAATATCCGCGTATCACATGGTGATACATACTGGAAAAACCTAATAGAAGTAATAAAAAGAATTAGACATTCTTGAAAATCACAAATACTTTATAACAAAATTAATTATAGAAAATTATGTTAAAATTATTATGAATTATGTATTGTATGAATTATGAAGGAAAATTAATAAGCCAAAAATGTCAATATATCAGACATAAATTGACAAAAATTATTTTATCGCAAGTACAATAATATACCATCATTTGGAGTAACTTTTATATCGCTGATATGAAAATTCTACCTTTATTCGTTTAATGATGTTATATGTTTTTGTAAGCCGTTGCAAATTGTTCAAAGTTACTCCGGTGTTTCAAGTTACCTCAAAGGACGGTATTTTAAATAATGTTTTAAAAAATGTTAAACGTTCTTTTTATAATATTACATATATATTATATAAACATTTTTAATATATATATATATATATATATTATTCATATATTATATATCTCTTATTATATAAATAATTATATAAATATTACATATTTTTATGTAATATAATAAATACAAATTTGGTATGAAGCTATATAAATATTTTATTTTGTGTTTTTATATTTTCCTTGCAAATCAGATTTTTTTTCTTGTTACTTTAAAAATTGTTGATTTTTATATTATAGCAAATTGTATAACTTTTTTTTTAATGTAATAATTTATTTGAAGAAAAAATGAAAGTCTGTTATTGACAATTAAAGAAATATCATAATAATTTTTCATGTATTTTAATGATAACTGCAATTTATGATCACGGACACACAACAAAATATCTTTCACATGGTAAAATAGAAATCACAAGTATGTGATAGTTTACGTAATAACCGTTGTTTGGTCCTGACGGCGCTGCAGATGTTGACAAACGTTTTGCTGCAGCATAAGATAGCGGCTAGCGGTTCATGGTTATATAGTCAAAGACTTATATAAGCTGCGTTCCGAAATGCACTGCCAGTACTGAAAATCTATAGTTCATGTTACGTATATTATAGGATTTCAGTACTAGCAGTGAATTTCGGAACGCAGCCATAATAGGTTTGTTCGCGTCGCATGCTCCAAGGTGCTCCAAGGTGCTCCTACTCGCTCCAACGTACTCTGATTGGTCCGCGTGATGACGTGAGCCAATCAGTGTGCGTTAGAGCGAGTAGGAGCACGTTGGGGCATGCGACGCGACAAACCTAAAGCTCATTCTACAATTGAGTAAGCGTAGTCGCGAACGTAAGAGTCAACCAATCCGAATGTTTTATTCACTGATTGCTTTACTCTGATTGGTTGTTGTAATCACTTACAAACACTTACTCCACGTTCACGCAATTGTAGAATGGGCTTAATATCTATATAGAACACATTCAAACAATCGCGTCCAAATCACTCAGGAACGAGTTATATCGATTCTGTTCTTTTATTTATCGGCTTAAGATCGGGTCTCTTTTCTCGTTCAACAACTGAATTTGAGATGAATCCCACGGAACCAACCAGCACTGAAGCTCTTAGGTAAAATAAGTTTCTACTTAGACAAGGTTATATACAAATTTACTGTTGATAAGATATGACTTCGTTCGCGTATTTTGCAAAACTTGATTGTCTACCTCGTAGAAAAAGTTAACGCTGCCTGTCGAATGACTCTTGTTAATATCAACTATACAAATTATCTTGCAGCTCCAAAATGAAGGATGTAATTGATGTTCTTGCAATGCAGCGTGAGAAAAGAAATACCTTGCAAAAGAGTATTACGATTGATTATACAAAATCGAGCGATAGTTTTACGATTTCACGATTTATTTTCGAATGTGGTAAGCCTGATATCTTTATACAATTCTCAAGTTTTAATTTAAAAATCTGAATTGTTTAGAAATTATCTTGGATTTTAGGTTTAAAGTTAGAGGCTCATTCATTGACAATAGCTACTGCTGCAACACTGTACCACAGATTTATAAAAGAAGCAACTCAACAAGGATATGATAATTATGTAAGAACAGATTATATTGATTATTTTGCAAAAATATAAGTTTAATTTATTCACAAAAATATATTCGCAAAATAATTTATTTGCAAAAATATAAGTTTAATATTCCTTTTAGCTGATAGCTGCGACTTGTCTCTACTTGGCTGGTAAAGCCAAAGACGATACACTGAAGATAAGAGATGTTATGAATGTATCCTACAACACACTTCACAGAGGATCTCAGCCACTGGATCTTGGAGATCAGTATTGGAGTATGAGAGATGCTATTGTTCAAGCTGAGCTTTTAATCATGAGAATGCTGAAGTTTCAAGTCACACCTATACACCCACACAAAGTAAAATATTGTGGATTTCTAATTATATTGTTTATATATATATATATATATATATATATATATATAAATCATATTATGCTATATTACAGTATATGCTTCACTACTTACGGTCTCTGCAAGCCTGGTTTGGGGAAGAAGAATGGTCCAAATATCCAGTTGCCAAAACCAGTATGGCATTATTGCAAGATTTTCATCATTCCCCATCTATTCTTGATTATCCACCGAATTTAATTGCAATAGCTTGCATTAACTTGTCATTGCAAATTTACGGTGTTGTCGTACCTTTGATGGATGAGTGTGATCAACAACCATGGTTTAATGTAAATATGCCATGGTTTAAAGTAAATATACAGCATTTCTTAATTTGTTTGTACAATATTAGTTTGTATATGATCCTAATTACAAGTATAATAAATTTGATAAAACAAGTATGATTAATTTGTAAATTGTTTATTACAACAGGTTTTCTGCAAAGATTTAACGAGAGACAAACTATGGGAGATTATGGAAAAAGTGATGGCAGCATATGACGAGGAGCCTGAAACAAGAGACAATTAATGAATGTTAATTTGTGTTGCGATAATAACTCATTCCTCTCATATCGCAATATTAAACTATTAATTATATAATATTATATTAAACTATTGTATTATATAATCTATTATATAATCTGTAATAAACAAAAACCAAATTAAAAGTTAAGTTAAAAGTTGATTATATAAAACATATTGTGTGTTTTTTCCATAGTTAACTTTTTAATCATAAATTAAATTTGCGTGAAATAATGATAAAATTGTTTTTTGTAAGAAAATATAATGATTTTAATATTAATTATTTTATTTGTGTAAAAAAAGTTGAAATATTAGTGTATTTAAAAATTAACCGAATTAAAAATAAATTTTATAACTCAACTTTTATGCCCAATTTCTTCACCGCCAGTTAACTTTATCTGCCAGTTATTCTATTGGAATGGACCAATCATATTTATGGTTGGCAAGATTAACCAATCACGGTTGACATTTATCCGACAGAAAAAGTTAACCGGAGGTGAAGAAATTGGGCATTAGCCGATTAACTAATTATTATTCAACTTTAGTATCGCTCCATTTTGTATGATCGATCGCAATACTTTTTTGTAATGTGTTTCTTTTCTCGTACTGCATTGCAAGAACATCAATTACATCCTTCATTTGCTAGAATTTATTGAAGTAATAAAGTAAAATGTTTTAAAATTAGTAAAATTCGAAGATTGTCTTCGAATGTATTCTGGATGGCTTTTTTTCGTTAGTCCCATTCGCTGGCGCCACCTAGCCTCGCGCTCTTGCCTACGAAATAACTCGCGAAACACCGTAGATAAAAATCATCCGTCAAGTGTTTCGATTTACACGGCGTTCGTATTGTAGCGTTAGAAATAACTGACGCACGGACGTCGATTTCGTAGTAAGTATCATTTTATCCGACGTCGACAACGGCGTTCCTCGTCGCGGCGGCTCGCCACCAGAAAGGGCAACCCTGCTTTCACCCTCAAGGAAACAGGTGTTCGGTGACGTTCCGCGGTGTCTCTCGTGCCACTCGGTACTGGCCCGACGATTCTTTGAGATATGACAAGTAGAAAAAGCGTTGTGTACGTGTGAGATAGAGTGCACCGTTTATGGTGACGACAGTCCGCGGCCCGGTAATTATATTCCACGCGTCACGTCACGTAGCGACGAAATCGAATGTCGTGAATGGTGACGGATACAACTGTCTACCAAATTGTTCATTGTAAATATTTTACACGCGCGCAGTGCTAAAAAGTGCCGCTACGTTTTTCTGAGAAATATATAACGTTCGATTTCGACGTGACTTCGTAGCATTGTTGTTTATAGGTCTGTGTTTCTTTTTCTCGAAAACTTTCTGCACACTGGTGCGGTAAGTTAGAGTGAAACAACATGTAAACCTGTCTCTTTCTAACTTATCGCGCCGATCCAAAAAGTTCTTCGAAAAAGAACAGGCCTCTTGTATGTTGCTTTTTTTGACGTTCCGAGACGTGCAGTTAACAGAACATAATAACGTGCAAACGTATCTGAACGGAGAGAATGAGTGCGTCTGTTTCTTCAAGTTGTCACTTAAGCTATCTTATCGAGTAAGAGTTCACTTTCAAGAAGTCAGGATTGTACATTGTTACAGAAATGTCTCAAATCACGGTTACATCAAGTGGGATGGAACGCAGTATCCACGAGATGCTAAAAGATGCACCCTCATTAAATGAGAGCGACAACGCTGTACACACTGGAACTCCTCCACCCCATGTGCCGAACAATTGTAACACTGATGGCCACCCAAGACCAGCCACTATAAATTTGAGCCTAGGAAGTCCTACGTCGCAGAATTGTATGTATTAACTCTCACTTTGCGAGTTCATCAGCAAGTGGAGTCTGTTGCAACTCTAAAAATTATAGTAAAAGATATCTGTGGTTTGGCAGCTGTAGCAGTGTCTCCAAGCACACCTGTTCAAAATGGTGATACACAGACTATGCGCACTACTCAGAGCAAAATTGAGAGTATCAAGAATTGGAGTATCTCCACATACAAATGCACCAAGCAGTTGATGTACGAGAGATTAGGGAAAACATCACGTACTGTAGATTTTGGTAAGTTTTTAATATCTTTTATACCCGTATTCATAGTCAGGCCTTATGTTTAAGGTCTCCTTAAGTTCATCTTCAGATGCTCTACTGATCATTTTATTGGCTATAGAGCATCTGAAGATAAACTTAAGGAAGCCTTAGATATAAGGCCTAACTATGAATACGGGAATTAATCTAAAATATCAAATAGCAAAAATAATGTTTTTGAAAATGGTGGTGACAGCTATCAGCATGTTACCAAAATAAATAACTTTTGTCAATAACATTTGCTTTTCACAAAATGCTGAGAACAAATTTTATTAACATTTTTCATTTCAAAATAACAAAATTAATAACAAAAAGTGATTAACTTGGTTCATAACTCGTTGAAAACAATTGTTTTAAGTGAGACAATCTATACTTGTCGGTAACACCACTGGAAATACGTTATTAGCAATATTACTGTCCATGTAAATAAATCTTAACGAACTGTCCTTGCATACCAGAATTGGAAACACAGATCGAGCTGCTCAGAGACACTCAGAGAAAATACTGCAATGTACTAAGATTATCACGAGCATTGGCATCACACTTCCATCACGTGGTACAAACGCAGCACGCCCTCGGAGAAGCGTTTTCGGAACTGGCGCAGAAGTCGCCCGAACTTCAAGAGGAATTTCTGTACAATTCAGAAACGCAGAGGAATTTGACGAAAAACGGCGAAACACTTTTAGGGGCCTTAAATTTCTTCGTTTCCTCCGTGAATACGTTGTGTAACAAAACGATCGAGGACACGCTACTTACAGTGAGACAATATGAAACTGCAAGGTATGCGATGTCCCACCGCGACTTTCTTCACGAATTATTTCGCACTTACGTCACACGTTACAATATAATGATTTTGCAGGATAGAATATGATGCGTATAGAACAGATCTGGAGACTCTTGTGCAGGCTACGAAGTCAGACGGTAGCAATGCGGCGAGACTAGAAGAGGCGCAAGCGAATTACGAAGGACATAAACAGAATTTCGAGAAACTGCGCTCAGACGTTTCCATCAAATTGAAATTTTTGGATGAGAACAGGGTATTTTTTTTTTAACAAATTCTACAAATGAGGGCCGTGGTACACAGAAAAACTTAAGCAGTAAGCAAATTGATCAATCACAGTCGCTAATTTTTCTTACAGTCTAAGAATCAACGACTGTGATTCGTCAATTTGTTTACTGCTTAAGTCTTACTGCTTAAGTTTTTGCGTGTGCCACGGCTCTAATACTAGAAACTAACACATTCAAATAATTGCTATACTAATTGTACCATATCGTTCCAGATTAAAGTAATGCACAAGCAGTTACTATTGTTCCACAACGCCGTATCTGCCTACTTTTCGGGAAATCAAACCGCATTGGAAGCGACTCTAAAACAATTCAATATCAAGGTGAAATCGCCGAATTCAACTTTACCGTCATGGCTGGAGCAGTAGTTCAATTAGAACAAACACTTCGTCGCCCGCTGTGAGCGAAGGATGTGAATACACAAGTGCGTTCGTCCACACTGAGTTATCCCATTGCGAAACGCAGAAAGTCAAGGTAGAAGTCACCAAGATTACACGACAAACTCATCGGGACATACTTGAGAGCTGCCGTTTTATCCTGATACTTTAATTGAGATAGAATGAAAAATCGTGAGAGTTTCATGATGTATAAACAGACTGAATCCAAGTCACAGAGTATCTATGTATTGATCATTATAGATATATAACATCTTCGAGATGTACATCGCGTATCATAAAATTAATAATTCTTTTGAGAGAATTGCGTAACGGTAGAGGGATCTCTAAACGACTTAGTCAACGTTTTGAAAATTAATTTTTGATGCTTAAATATTTGAAAGAGGAGAAGAGAAAGAAAGAGAGAGAAGAGGCAATAGAATATTTAATTTTTATATTTCTCTTAGAGAAGAGTTCCGATGTAAATACGTAATGTAACGTAACACGATAAATGGAGCTTTCTATTTTACAGCGTATTTAGTGGTATTGATTGCTTGTTTATATCACACTTTACACGCGTAATAAGAGCATATAACTTAATAGTAACGGCTATGTCCATAATCCTGTTAAGACATTAATCTTTAATGATTACAGTTCGCGTATTGTTTTATAAAGATTAGAGCTTTAATGCTATTGCTGAATTATATAGAGACTTATTTTTCTCATTTATAACGATGTAATTAATTAAATTACATATTGCAAGTTAATTTTTGCTGAAAGGAGTAAGAGAAACGATAAATTGCGCGAATCTCAGTAGAGTATTAAAAATAATCGTGTACTAAATGTGTGTCAAGGAAACATACAACTGTAATATCAGAATGTCTCTATTATATCATGATTTTCATAAGTATTACGTTTTGCTTGTATTGTTATAAATAAGTAAAAATTATAAGTATAATAATCGATTACTCAATTTGTTTAAATTTATCGTGTGTACGTTTCAATATATACAGTTTGACGTATATATAATTTATATTTGAACTTTCCGAAAGCTTTATGAAAATTGCTTCCGGGATAAATGTTCTTAACATTTTTGCGATGTATGTTACGATTGAAAGCGTATATTAATTATTGTTACTGTTAGCTACAGCTTTCTATAATATATTACATACAAAATTAAATTGGTTTCTTCTAAAAATCAATTATGACAAATATTATATAAGAACACAAACAAATATCATAATAATGATATTTCTTTCTGGAAATTTATATTACCTTTTAAACTCAACTTTATGCAAGCAAAACGCTGCGAAGAAGAGAACTAGTCACTGTTTTACTTAAGTATCTATTTTCAAAATTGTAAGAATAAAAAGATAATAATATCTTACTCGATTAGATGTATAAGTTTGATTGCTTATGCTTGTGTATCCTACAGTAAACAGAAAACATAATATAGTTTATGCTACAATGCATCAGTTTGCAGTTTACTCAGAGATCTCAGAATCCTTCAAAAATATTTTATAGTAGAAAGTGATGGCATTTCTGATAACAATTGCTGTCACTTATTACTTGCCATGATAACAATAACTATTTGCAACTAGCTACTGTTAATGAACAAATAAATTAATTCGTAGTGATATAATATTACAAGGGTGTTATACCACCAAATTGTGAAGTTGATTCTTCCAGGTGTGTATATGATATTTAATAAAAGCATCTCACATGTATGTATGGTGAATGTATACGAAGTAAATGTACATGATATCGTGAAAAATCAGCAGTTTTTTTCTCATTTCGCGCCTTGCATCCGTTATCCGGGTAATAATATAAATATGGAATACTTAATAACTCTGGCCTTCAATGTGTAATGCTGCTGTTTGGTATGTGTACATATATGTTCTCTACAAATACTGTAAGGACTTTGAGAATGTAATTTCTTCTCTTTAATTCATAGTTTGCTACATAGCTAAGTTGCATTCCGTACGACAACTCAATCATTTCCTATAAGATAGTTAAGAATTTTACATCTCTATAAAACAGGATCTGACATTTTTTAATCAGTCTTATACAAGAAAAACAATGTTAATTTCTACTAAATTAAATATGTATAATAAGCACTTTATTATTTAAGTAATATATAGCAAATGAGAATTATGTTCCTAACTATGATGTTTGCGTGTGTATATTATGTGTATACAAGTTCTTAACAATAAATGAACACTTATATAAATATTTTGTCTTTAATAGCTTATAAAGTGTATTTACAAAAATACTAATGGCAAGATTGGACTATGCTTATTGTGTGTCATTTAAATATATTGCCCTATTGTGTTATTTAAGTATAATGAACAAAATGAAACATTTTACTTTAAAAATATGATTTATAGATCATATATAGATATTGATTCTATTTAAGTATACATATCTCAGTATGTACATATATAAAATCTTTCTTGATACTATCATTTCATATATGTGTCAATACAATTGTACAATTTGTGTTTTACTAAAAAATGTTTGAGATTAATAAACTTCTAAATATATAAATTTATAATAAGTATTATTATGAGTTCTGTTGCATCTGTTCATTCTGTGTTTGCTGATCTTGTGCTTGTGCTTCCAATGCTGTTTGAGTCGTGCTTATCTCCTCCATTCTTTTACGTACCATTACAGGTTGCACTTCCATAAATACCTCCATTATCTTATGGTTAGCATGAATATATTTTTGTGCACAGTTACTTACACAAAGATCCTACAATTTCAAATAAATATCAAGCAGATTTATTTTCAATAATATATATATATATATATATATATATATATATATATATATATA